AGCAGTTCTCACCCAGACCCTGGAGCAGTGCTTACTGAAGTGAAAGTGCCTCGGCTCGATTCCTGGCAAGGGGACGTTGAAGGTGACATCGGCGCAGATCTTGTACCATACAGCTGGTATCCCAGAGACAAGAAATATCATTCTCTAAACAGTCTAGCATACCGTTATCACCTGAAAGATGGATCCGGCGCGAAGGATTAGGCACATACGAAAGCAACCACCAAAGGTCTCGATGCTCACACAAACTGGAAGATTTGTGGTTGGTCAGATGCTCCCGACCACGCGGTTCGCCAAGATGGAAAGAGACAATCTCCCGAGCCTTGCCAAGCACTTAATCGTTTGTGGCAGACAAGGGTGCCTGAAGGATTGCTAGGCCGGTGTGTTCACCATCTTTCCCCATTATGTCGTGATGGCCTGCGGATGATCATTGCCGAAAGACCTACCAAAAGCTTATCTTCACAATAAAGTCTTGGCAGGGCATGGGTTCTGCACCTTGACAAGGGAATATAATGATACGAGCGGTTATTTCCAGTAAGGAAATGTACCTGAAGAAGGAAATCACGTCGAGTTGGTTGTCGATGGTGTGCGACCTCGGTGTTCATTGTGCCGTTTTTCGCAAAATGTCACAGCGATCCAACACCATGTATATCAATCCTTCGAAATTCCAGCGATGGAGATGGTTTTGGAAAGAGTAGGCCCTGATAATCTTCGCTAACAAGTTTTCGGATCAGCTGACTCGTTCTTTAAGCTGCAGCCATGACTTCGCAGAAGCCTCCAGTCATTGAAGTCCCCTCAGACGGGGAGAGGGTCTCATCAGGTGTGCACGACATCGATACGAAGACCCCCTCTTTCGAGATTGACTCGCCCAAAGACGAGGTCAGCGACTTGGCCGAACCCCAAGATACGACCAAAAACGTCGGCTTTTGGGAAGCACTCACCCGTCGCAATGCGCCGCGAGATCTCGATGCTATCGCAACAGAGCGAAGCGTGTTTGACGATCCCAGCTTGGCGCCCTTCTACCAGCCCCCACCAGAGTACGAGAACGTCCATCGCTTTGATCCGAAGGAGCGATGGACACATCGCGAAGAACGTTCTGTCCGCCGAAAGACAGACTTCAAGATCTTTGCCTGGATTTTGGTCATGTTTTTCGGTCTCAATATCGACAGAGGCAATCTCGGCAATGCTGCGGCAGATAATCTCCTCAAGGACCTGCATATCAACACCAACGACTACAATAACGCCCAGAACATGTATCGTATCGGATTTCTGATCGCCGAAGTTCCGTCTCAAATGATTGGAAAACGGCTTGGACCTGATCGATGGATCCCCGTTCAGATTATGCTCTGGAGTCTGGCGTCCGGAGGTCAGTTCTTCATGCACAACCGGGCTGGCTTCTTCGCCTGCCGGTTCTTTATCGGTCTCTTCATGGGTGGCTTCATTCCGGACTCCATTCTGTACCTGTCTTACTTTTACAAGAAGACTGAGATGCCCATTCGCCTGGCCCTCTTCTGGTTCGTCGACTCCATGTCCGGTGTCATAGCATCCTTCATGGCCTATGGAATCCTGCACTTGCGCGGCGTTGCAGGAAAGGAAGGATGGCGATGGCTCTTCCTGATCGAGGCTCTTGTTAGTTTCGTCATCGGCGCTGCCAGCTTTCTCTTCCTAGTCCCCGGCCCGACGCAGACGAAAACGTGGTGGAACCCCAAAGGCTACTTCAACGAGCGCGAGGAGAAGATCATCGTCAATCGGGTTCTCCGTGACGACCCTTCTAAGAGCGACATGCATAATCGAGAATCGCTGTCTCTGGGCATGCTCTGGAAGAGTCTAAAGGACTACGACCTGTGGCCGGTGTACCTCATTGGCATCCTCTTTGAGATTCCTACTGCGCCGCCAAAGACGTACCTCACGCTGTCTCTCAAGGCTCTCGGCTTCAGTACCTTCAACGTTACTCTGCTCGCAATCCCTGTCACTGTCTTCGCAGCGGTAAACATGTTGTGGGTTACGTTCCTTACTGAAAGGTTCCATCAAATCGCCATCATCGGCCTGCTCTCGCAGGTTTGGGTATTGCCGCTGCTCATCGTCGAATACACTTCCATCGAGAGCCTGTCGCCGTGGGCGCAGTATGCCGTTACTTTCATGATTCTTGGCCAGCCGTCTACACATGCCGCGCACGTCGGATGGTGTTCTAGACTTTCGAACGCCGTTAGGACCAGAGCTATCAGTGCTGCGCTCTACAACATCACCATTCAGCTGTCCGGAATCGCCTCGTCGAATATCTATCGAGAGGATGATAAACCTCATTACCACCGAGGTAATAAGAACTTGATCGCAATCACTGTGGCAACGATATTTGCGTATGCTTTTGCCAAGACATACTACACTCTTCGCAACAAGTCCAAGAGGACGAAATGGAACAGCATGTCGGAAGAGGAGAAGACGGCGTATCTGGCTAATACTAGCGACGAAGGAAACAAGCGTTTGGATTTCTTCTTCGACAGCTGAGTCTTGACGGCTACCCGCCTCCGCCCGACAAGTTCTGCATAGAGTCTGGTTTCGATCATAGGATTTGCATGAAGGCGCAATGCCAGTCATTGGGGTTGAAACATCTATCACACTCAATAATACCTGCTTAGCACCACTTCCATTCAATTGCAAACAATTTTACACCCGTAACGAGACAGAAACTCTTGATCCATACGCTCAGTTTACAACTACTCAAGTTGATTGATATTTATCACGCCAACGCCAAATACACTACCATAAGTCGTAAAATCTAAGTCTTCTTTTGAGAATCTAGTGTGCCTCGACCTCCTCCAACTGCCGCCTCCAAACCTTGACGGGCATCTCCCCTAGCAACCAGTTCATCGTCTCCTCACGCGCCATCTCGAAGTCCCGCGGCAGAGCAAACTCATACCTGTGCACGACCGAAGCCAAGAGCACAGCCTGCTCCAAGTATGAAATGTTGCGGCCAATGCATCCTCTCGCGCCGGCGGAGAAGGCCAAGAAGTACGGCTGCAGCTCCTTGCCCTTGTCACCAAGCCACCTGTCCGGCACGTACTTATCGGCGTCGGGGAAGACGGTCTCGTCGCGGTGGGCGACGACACCCGACATGCTGACAGTAGTATTGCCTGGCACCCACTCGCCCATGATGTACATGCCTTCCGGGGGCGTCTTGCGAGGTAGGCCTTGCGGTGTGGGAGGGAACAGGCGGAGGGACTCGTCGAGGCAGGCGCGGAGATAGGGGAGGTGCTTCACCTTGTCGTAAGGTGCGACAATCTCATCCGCGTCAAGGACGCTGTCAACTTCTTCACGGAGGAGCTGTAGGTATCTCGGGTTCTTGAGGAGCTGGTAAAGCACGTTTGTCACGGCGATGGCGGTGGTCACACTGCCAGCGTTCATCATGATGTTGATCTCGGCGACGATTTCGCCCCACTCAAGGTTGTTGGCCTCGCCGTTCTTGTTTTCCATCAGAGCCTGGAAGAAGTCATCAAGCTTCTCGTCGCCCTTGTTGTAACGCTGAAGGCGCTTGTGGGCGAGCTCGAGCACGATGCCGTCCCAGCCCTTGGATGCCTCGGTCATCTGGCGGTAGCGGGGGATGATGTTGGAGAGCTTGTCAATGAGCTTGTAGTTGTCGTAGCTCCAGACGAGGAGGGACTGCTTCCGGGCAGTGGGGTAGAGCGAGTCGCGGAGGGGGACCTCCCAGGTTGAGCCGTCTTTACGGCGGGCGAGAACACGGTCGTGGCCGCGGTCAAGTAGGCCGAGACGCTCGGAGAGACCAATGTCGGCGATGGCGTCGAGGGTGAAGAAGTTGCCCCATTTGCGGTAGTCGACGGTCAAATCCTCTGGCTTAGGGAACATTTGGCCCTTGGGGAGGGGGTCGGTACAGCGCTGATCGAGTTGCTTGAAGAGTCTCTCGACCTTGTCTGCAACCTTGTGTTCCCATCCCTCGAGGTTCTTCAGGGCGTAGGCGGAGGATAAGACCTTACGCTTCTTTGCGTGGTCATGTTTGTCGACCACATCGGCGAGGTGGTAGTGAGATCCGGCCGTGAGGACGTAGGATTCGTCCTTGATGCAAGGGGTTCCATGGCCGTAGATGTCCTTGATGGCGCGGACGTCGCTAAAAGAGAGGGTATTGGGACCGGTGCGGAGGATTGGGCCCTTTTCCCGGTGGAGGTTGACGAGATGGGTTGATCGAGCACCGGTGCGGGCAAGGATCATGAAGGGGATATTGTATACGCCGGAGAAGGTACTCAAGTTTTCAAACTTGCGCATGCCTGGGTGTTGTTGTTAGTGTCCGCAAGTGATGAGCCTAGGGCTGAAGGAAGATTACCTTTTGAGTCCTTGAAGTATACAAATAATGGGTAAACGATAAAATAAGACAAGGCAACGAAGAGAAACGCCGCAGCGTATGGCGCCTGCGAGAAGGCAGAGAATGTTTCGAGTGCCATGTTGCTAGCTAGATCCCAAGAGATCTTGTGGGATGAAAAAGGCAAACACTGGGTTCGAAGAATGAAGAGCTTTGGATCACGGCCTATTCTATGCTGTTGAAAGAAAGGAAGTCGTCTTCGACTAAATAACCATCCGCGTAGTGGAACACTAATCAGCCACAGAAGTCACGAGAATGGATAAAATCGACCGTAAATCAATGCCCACTTGGTTTGGCCCGGCTTTCAAGAAAGGAAAATCTCGCCGCGACATCACATTCGCTCGCGGCTCGCAACCGATAGCCCATCCCTCCACTAGCTACGACATATTCTCCGCACCTCTGCACGTCACAAACCTCAGCCTGCCCCCCATTTCGTCTGAGCTGTCAATAAGAATAGCTCATGAGACTTTCAGAGGATCCCGGATAGGAAAGAGGGGCGCGAAGCCGGGGACGGCGGGCGGATTCTGCCCAAGGCTGGGACAGGGACGGGACTAACTCGCTCAGACCAAGACAAGCAGAAGCCAAGTCCCGCGGGGAAAACGCAGTGTGCAACATACGCATGGCTGATGGGTAACTGCTGCACCGTTGGTTAGTTCTGCATTGTAGTGACAGATCTTGGGGTTATCTCGGGGTCCGTCACATACCTTCCACAGAATCCTTACGCGGGAGAGATGAAATCTTCCTGCTGGGCTGGACCCGCGATCTGAGGGGTTCTCGTCTGGATGCGGCAACTTTCACCGCGGGAGAGACCTCAAAGTCGAAATGGGGCATGCCAAGAGGCACTCGGTGTTCCAGCCGACGATGGCGGAGGCATCAAGAGGCTGGGGCGAAGTTTGGGGAAATACGGGGTCCTCTTCGGTAATCTCGCAGTTTGTTGGATGGACATCTCGATCCCGCGGGATAAGTCGCCTATATTAGTTTAGACTGCATCATATTTCACCCTGCCAGCTGTGCCAGCTTGCTTCTTCGTGTTCCCTCCCCGCGGGGAAGTGGATTCGTTCCCCAACTTTCTCTGTCCCAAAATCTGAGTCCGTCTCAAGTTGGCAATGCTCCCCGCACCTCGTGGGGACGGTGACTTGCCTCTTAGAATCGGTTTAGGAAAGTCTTTGGCGCAATGTAGGTTGACGGCACTAGGTGTGTTGGTAGCTGCAGTTCATATGTTGTACGATTTAGGAAACTTCCACGATACTCAGAAGAAGTCTCGGGTCGCATTTAACATCTCGAAACTCGCCGTTCTCTTACCACAGAGATAAAACTTGGGCAAGCTCATTGAGACTGTATCATATTCGACGCTGGCAGTTCAATCATCTTCATTGCGCTTCTGATTCTCATCTCATCATGTCTCTTCCAGGAGCTCTGCCAGAAAGCACGCTGAAGCTCCTCAGCCAGCTCGCGCCAGGAACAGTCGCAGATACAGCCGCTCTTACTGCTGCCGGTCTTCTGTCTGCCGCATATGTCCTGCGCGGATACACCTGGGACAGGCCGGATCCGTACAACTACATCTGGTACGAGAAGCCTCAACAAGGCGCTGACGGCAATGCCGCGAACAAGAAGTCAAAGAACATTGCTGAGAGGCTAGAAGAGCTCGTAAGTCAAGCCGGAACTCCTCTTCTTGCTCTATCTTTTACTGACAGTCTCATGTCCAGGGCAAAGATGTCGTCGTCTTCTGGGGCTCGCAATCCGGCACCGCAGAGGGCTTCGCGAACCGCCTCGCTCGCGAGCTGCACCAGCGCTTCCATCTCAATACCATGTCAGCAGACCTCTCAGACTACGACGCCGACACCATCACACAAATTCCCCAGACTAAGCTGGCCATCTTCATCATCTCCACCTATGGCGAGGGAGACCCCAGCGATAACGCCAGCTTGTTCTGGGACTGGTTGACCAAGCTGCAAGACAAGCCCCTTACATCGCTGCGCTACGCAGCCTTTGGTCTGGGCAACAGCAATTACAGATACTACAACAAGGTCGTCGACGTCGTCGATAAGGCCCTGGTAGACTGTGGCGCCTCGCGATTGGCGCCCGTCGGCCGCGCAGACGATGCGGTCGGGGCTACAGAGGAGGACTTCCTTTCATGGAAGGATGACTTGTACAAGGTCTTCCGCGATGAACTGAAGCTGCTGGAACACGAAGTTGTTCACGAGCCGTCGCTGGCTGTCGTCGAGGATGAGTCCCTGGAGCCGCAGGATCTTCACATTGGCGAGCCAGTACACCTGATTGAGGGCTCTGGAAAGTCAACAGCCAACTCAGCCATCAAGGCCTTGAAGATCAAAAATGCGCGCAGCTTATTCTCCTCTCCTGGACGCAGCTGTCTTCATCTGGACCTCGATCTAGGAAACAGCTCCCAAATCACATACAAGACCGGCGATCATCTTGCCGTCTGGCCCATCAACCCCGACCAAGAAGTCGAGCGTCTCCTTAACGTCCTCGGTCTTTCAGAGCGCAGAAGCACCCCTATCAGCATTAACGCCCTTGACGCCGCCGTTAAGGTCAGAATTCCCACGCCGACGAACGTTGAGACATTGTTCAGATACTACCTCGAGATCTGCGCCGCAGTTCCCAGAGATGCCGTCCGAGGCCTCGCACAGTTTGCGCCCTCTCCCGCATCAAAGGAAATTCTACTGAACCTAGGACGCGACAAGGATAACTACGCCGCTTTCCTCGCATCGAATCATCTGACCATCGGCAAGCTTCTGGAATACGCAGCCAAGGCCGATGGCAACGCGACATCGTCTGCATGGTCGGGAATTCCCCTGTCATACCTCATCGAGACCTTGCCTAGATCCCAGCCGCGTTACTACTCCATTTCTTCTTCTAGCGTTGTTTCTCCCAAGGCACCCAGCATCACCGTTGCCGTATCTGATACCCCCTTGTCCGCTTCCCCAACCACAGCCATCCCTGGTCTGACGACGAACTACCTTCAGTCGCTCTCCAACTCGCTGCAAGACTCGCAGGCAACGCAGCAGACCGAGGGTCTCAGCTATGCCCTGTCAGGCCCCTCGAACGCACTTGAGGGCGGCCTTGTCTACGCTCACATCCGCCGCTCCAAGTTCAAGCTTCCCATGCTCTCCTCGCATCCACTCGTCATGGTCGCTGCTGGCACGGGTCTGGCACCGTTCCGGGCCTTTATCATGGAACGTCTCCGCCTGCAGTCTGTCGGTAAGGACATCGGGCAGATGATCCTCTTCTTCGGATGTCAGCGCCCCGACGACGACTACATCTATAAGGAGGAGCTCGAGCAGATGGAGAAGGACCTCGGTGGCAAGCTCAAGATCGTGACGGCCTTCTCACGGCAAGAGGGCGCGAAGAAGACATATGTCCAGGACAGGGTACGTGAGTTGGGCGCCGAGGTTTTGGGGCTTTTGGAGGAGAGTGCCAGTTTGTACATGTGCGGACGGGCGAGCATGGCTAGGGAGGTCGGAAAAACTTTGGGTGATGTTGTGAGGGCGGATAAGGGCTGGAGTGATGCCCAAGTCAAGGACTGGAGCGAAGGACTCAAGAGAAATCGCAAGTGGCAAGAAGACGTTTGGGGATAGATGTGGCTTGCTGTGGTCTTGTAAGAATGATTAGATTGGGAATTGCTATGATTTAGCGTTGCTTGCGACTTTGAAAGACAATGATAGATGTTTTGAGAAATGAAGAACTCCTCTTGATACACTACTTGTGCTCACATATCCATTCGACGCGACGATTTTTGGCACGTTTCTCAATGGACTATTCACACTCATGCGGAACCTATCGAACAAAGCCCGCTGTGCCAAGTGTTGAAACTTGGGCTTTCTGTCATTTTTCAATACAGCGCACCTCAATGAGCTGCTATAAGCCATCGCTTCATATCCTCGCATTTTACTTGCCGAATTCAGCTTTTGACTATATGTTGGTATCCCTACTACAGGGTAATTGGTTCGAACCGTGGGTTGACGAAGAGATCAATTGAACTATATGAATTTCTGCGTAGGTGTAGAAAGGAGGTTCCAACCGTAGGTTGGGCATGCTACGATAATCGTAAATAGGGCCCCTAATTGGCCCCTGCGCAGTTGGCCGTACGCCGCGGTCGAATTGGACTTCCAATCCGACACTATATAAGGCCATGCTGCACGTAGTCTTCGTCACTAAGTGTATTTCGCGAATTTATTTCCCAATTGGACTTCCAAGGATGTAGACATACGATTTCCAATTCCGTTGGATCCTGAGTTTAACAAATCTCACCTAAAACAACCATGGTGATATGAGCCATGCTTGCGCGTAGGTTCACTCGAAGGGACCATGCAGTGTCACACACACCTCAACCCGGTGTTAAGTAACGCAGACCCGCCGCGGGACCTGCATGTCTAGCCATCTACATGAACTTCTTCCCAACTTCTTCAGGAGCAAGAATCATTCAAGTAGAGGTTGCGAAAGTCCGAGAAGACGCTGTGGACTTGGCATGAAGCGGGATGCGCGCGATGCGAGAGATGGCCTCGGATATCTGTTGCTCCCGCAGCAAAAGTGAATGCTGCCCGGCGATTTCTCAGCTTTTTCACTCCCAAGTTACCTAGCGACGAAGATGAACGGATCAGGAATGCTATTGCAGGTAGCTGCCTACGTCAATACGCATCTCATCAATACTGGAGATGCAAAACGTGGTACTTCCCCACGTTTTCATAATCCGCGGGCACCAATTTGGTCACAAAATCCACTTTGACATGCCGGTTTCGAAACATGACAGGCGGAGATCGGACTGGGCGCTTGAGGCTCTAGTCCCGCGACGTTCAAGTCTTGCGCTGAATCCGAGCTGAATCATAGTCAGCAGCTTGGGAAATACATATTCGCGACTCTTCATCAGTGATCAATCCCTACCGCTCCGTTGGTCATCATGCCGGCCGCGTGGAGGAATGTGGAACAAGCTTTGGCTATTGGTGTCCACACCATGTACAAATCCCGCGGGATATGTTCCCTCTTTGAGGGGGTCAATCCCACACATGCGAGTGCCTGAGTCAGTGGAGACAGCTGCAATTGGCTAGGAACATCAAGGCTGGGCTGCAGGCAACCTTCACTCCACCATCCCTTCTGCTCATCTACCGACGGCTCGAACCCGCGGGCTAAGCGTCTCTACTTTCTACACCTATCCCGGGGTCCCATACGTTAGTGCGGTACATGCGGAGACAGACTTTACCTAAATCAGAAATAACCTAGTTAAGTAGATATACTTTCGATTAATAATAAATTACTTATTGATTTTAATACTTAATACTTTTACTATTTTACTTAATTACGAGCTATAATTAACGAGGTATTAAGTATATTAGTTATTTTAACTATTTTCTAAGTATTACTTCTTACGTAGCTTAGATAATAGCTCGTAATTATTTAGGTATAAGGGATTATAAGTTAAAGTACGATTCTACTTAATTTTTTATTTAGAACTATATATTTTTTATTAAGTTAAGGTTAGGACTATATACTAGCTAGTATAATATTAATATTCTAAGTATTTTTAAAATAAAATAGGTCTTTTTAGCTTTATAAACTAGGGTACTATAATATTAAAATAAGCTAAGATAGTACTCTTAAAAAAAGCGATAATTATCGGTACTATTTAAAAAAAGTACTTTTTAATATCGATTCTTCTCTATTCTTTTTTTTAAATAAAACCTAGGCCCTTAATTCCGTTAGTAAAAGCCCCCTAAAATATTTAGTTATATAGTTTTATTTATATAAGAGTAAAGAAGGCTAGGTCTTTTATAATATATACTATTACTTATTACTTCTATATAAGGCCCGTAATTATTTAAGTTTTATTTAAAAATATTATATTTTCTTAATTTTTAAGCTACGGGCGGAGCTAGAAGTATATCTAGGTAAAAGCGACTTATTATTACTTATTAGCTTTGGTTTAACGGATTTTGCGTAGTTAAATAGCTTAGTAATAGCTTATAAAGCGTAAGGTAATTATAAAAGTAAACTCCCTATATAATAAGAAATTAAGAAGTAGAAATAGTAATAAGTCTATTTATAAAATCCTTTTATATAAATCGTTAAATAGGAGCTACTTTTAAAAGTAGTTTTTTTATAATATACGAACCTATAGTTTATAATACTTATTCTTTTATAATATAATTAGTAAGGAGTTTATATAAGCTAATTAAACCTAGCGGTATATAAAAAGTATAGTTTTTATAATTTACTTATATATCTAATTAAAGTACTTATAAAAAGCGTAAATCTCGATTTTTTAGTTTTTTATAAGCTCTTTTATACGTAGTTTAGTAAGTATAGAGGGTAGAATAGTATTATTTATAGCTAGCTTATGAGGTATAATAGTAGAAATAGGTAATATAATAAGTAATAAAAATAGTATAATTAATAAAGTAGAAGTAAGTAAAAGTAATATAATTAACGAAGTAGAAGTAAGTATAATTAATAAAGTAAAAATAGGTATAATTAACGAAGTAGAAGTAGGTAAAAGTAGTATAATTAGGCCCGTAGTTAAGGCCGTAGTCGAGGCTATAATTATAAAATCTATAATAGTTTAGTAAGTAGAGGAAAGTACGGAATATTAGCGTTAAGTAGGGATATTAGTTTTTATTTTTGAAGTATTACCTCTAAGTTTAGCTATAGAAAACGGGCGAAGAAAATAGAATTGGTACCTCGTGTGGGTGGATGGGGCATATAACCCAACTACCCTGTTAATTCACTGCGCTAACGTATGGGACCCCGGGATAGGTGTACGCAGTATCCGTACGGATACACTACTGGACGTCCCGGCACTATTCGGCTGCGCACAATCCAATCGGAGTGTCAAGATTGATAATGAGTATTGGTAGCGGAGTTCACCCCGTGGAGTAACTTGCGTCAAAAACCCGGGGGAGAAGAGGAGTACGCCATCCGAGCCTGGGGCTCCCCACTGGGCCCCATCAGAACATTCCAACTTTCAACCGACAGCATGTTCTTCGTCTGGGGTATTGTTTTATCTGCAATATTTACAATGACATCACTCTTTGAAGAACCGGCTTAGACCCGCCTGCGGACCTGGGGTACACCGGCAGTAAACTGTATGGTCTTCGTCGATCGGAGGGCCTCGTGACTCTGTGAATCCTTTGAGGAATGTTCTGGAAATACGGCGGTTGTACTATTCACTGTAACGAGCCTCGTGGGCGGAAGTGAGATGTTCCCTGGAAATCAACAAAACCACTAGACGGTACCATGATTATGGCTCTCCCTTGAACCGACTGCAACACCAAACATGAGATAACTCACGGAAACAACGCTGACAGAAGACCAAGGTCGGCCGGAAATCAGGACCAAGAGAAACTAGTACTCAATCACCCCTGTATAAACACGTATTAAAGTGATACCCGCGGGGCTTTTTTACTGCATTGGGGATGGTCTGCTGAGGGATTCTCCGCGTATCCCGCACCCGGAGGTACCCCAGACAACCCACCCCCGCAATTATCTCGACGTACGCTGCGGATACACACGCTCAACACTGATCAGGTGTTTGAGGAGAGAATCCCGCGCGATGGGAAATAAGGGGGCACTGATTGTGTCTGTTGTGTTTCTACCATGGACTCGGTATACGTCCCAAGGTAGTAAGGCTAGGCTAGCTGAAAGTTTCACGGGGAAAACATAGACTAAGAGACGCTGTGCCGGTTTCCGTCTGATTCAATGACTGGGCTGAACTCGGGGGTTCAAACGAAGAAAAAAAAGCGCGTGCCTTCGAAGCTTCTCCTCATACCACGACTCTTTTGGGCAATTTAAGCCCGCGACTCCACCTTGGCGCGTGTCTACTTGCTTGCAATCCCCTTACAATTCCTAGTAGCCTTCCGTCAACGAGATAGAGTCGTTGACTCGTTTTCTATATAACTACTAAGTCTGTTCTCTTTTTCTCGTCTGAATTTCTGCAGCCCAGCCTCCTCTTTGAGTTTCCCCAACTGGCTTCAGCCCTCACCCAATCCAACTCCCACCATCGATCGATATTTAAGCTTTTGCTTCCATTGAAGTGCTGTTGCTTATCTTCTCTATCGAGGTCGGCTCAAACTTGCAGTTGCTCGACAATGTCGCAAACCACGCCCGACTCCGAGAGCAAGGCTCTATCGAGGGAAGCTTCTCTCGATAAGATGAAGCTCGATGGAACTACATCTCATGTCGAGCAGACGCAACACGTTGACTTTGACGATTCTATTGAGGATACCGAGCCGTCTAAGGCGGTGTGGCTGATCACCTTCACCGTCGCCATGGGCGGTTTCTTGTTTGGTGAGCCGCTCCACAGCCCGAGCTGCAAGGATCGATCAAACCTACGGGAAGCGAATAGCTTTACTAATTGAATTGCGTGATGAATAGGTTACGACACCGGTGTGATCTCGGCCGTTCTCGTCAGTCTCAAAAGTGATCTCGGACACGAATTGGATTCGCACGAACAGGAGTTGATCACGTCCATTACATCTGGTGGCGCGTTGATCGGTGCCGTGATCGCTGGTCTTCCGGCCGATAGATACGGGCGAAAGCTCGGCATCTATATCGGCTGCGTTCTCTTCCTCGTCGGTACAATCATTCAAGCTGCTGCGTTCTCTGTGGCGCAAATGACCGTCGGACGCTTCATTGTCGGGTTGGGAGTCGGTTCTGCGGCCATGATTATCGTAAGCTACCATGAAGCTCCCTTTTCTTGTTAGCAGCTCGTTCCCGGTTGCAGTCGTCGATGGGCTTAGATATCTAACTAACTGAACAATAGCCTCTCTACATTGGCGAGCTCGCACCCGCCAAACACCGCGGCCGCATGATCGCATTCGATAACATGAGCGTAACTCTCGGGCAACTCATCTCCTACGCTTTCGGTGCAGGCTTTACCGAACTTCCTCACGGATGGCGCTACATGGTCGCCATCGGCGGCGTCCCGCCAATTATCCTCGCTTTCCTTCTGCCAATGTGCCCTGAGTCGCCCCGACAGCTCATCTCTCACGGAAAGCTCGAGGAGGCCACGCGCGTCATTAAGCGTGTCTACCCTCATGCGACGGAAGAACAGGTCAACGCCAAGATCGGACACATGACGTGGGTGGTCGAGGTGGAGGCACAGGCTACGTCTGGCTCGCTGTGGGACCGCTTCAAGGAGTTGCATGTTGTGCCTGCCAACTTCCGCGCCCTTATTACCGCGTGCGCTATCATGGCCAGTAAGTTTTCTCGGGTCTGCGTTCTCCATACAAATACCGGGAAAAGGGCAACTTTATGAATAGGGACTGACATCGCTTAGTAAGTCAGCTGAGCGGTTTTAACTCACTTATGTACTACTGTGCGAACACAAAACAGCCCGTAGCGGCTCCCGGAGTTGGGGGTTCTAGAAGAGCTTCGAAGCGTGTGACGAGGTAAGTCAAGTGGTATCACTTGCTCAAGGTACTGAAATAGATACGTCCACCCAACCGAGATCAGGCGGTAAGATAGGTAATTTGTAATGCAGAAGTCGAAACTGCCAAGATAAAGAATCATTTCTCAAACCGTACCTAGAAGGTCTGGCAAACCCACGATTGCACTCTTAGGGACTGAGCGGTCCAATGGACTCTTCCAAGTATAATTAACGGCGTCTAACGGTATGGTAAGTAGATACCTATCCTTTCGACTTGTAATGGGACTACGATATGGACGAGTGTCATGCTACGTGATGTGGCTCTCTTGCGTAACTATCATGGAGGCTTAGGAGGAATAGAAACTGAACGGGAATCTGGACTAAGTCATTTACGTGGTACCTTTCCTAATAACCTCTGCGATCAGGCGACCCCAGACTAATTTATAGGTACACACTTCATGTTTATTATTCCGCGTCAACACCCTCTCCGGAAGATTCCGAGTCGAAAATATCTCTACGCACATACACAAGGTCTTCCTGTACAACGGACTCTGCCTCGTCCGAGCTGGGAGAAGCCCCGTTCGCCGTGGAGGTATCCCCATCTTCGGTGGACGTGTCGACTTGGTCCTATTGTCATCGTCAGTGACTTGAAGTCAGTTGCGACAGACATGTAGCCACGAAGTACACACAAGACGCTCCGAGGTAGGACTATCAGTCAAAGCCAGTGTTGCGTTGGCAGCTGAATCATTGGAGGAGCTAGAGGCCAAGTTGTCCATCGTGGACGAACTTATAGTTTCCTCATCCGAGTCGTCGTATGCCTTGTCGTACAACATCCGATAATTGTCAAGCAGGCCATCGAGTATTTCATTAAGCCTAAGTTTAGTTGTTGACGTTAGTCGTTTTCGGACAACAGAAATGGGAGTAATAGCTCACCGGACAAGCCATCTGCGAGATCCGTACGTAGGCTCGTCGAAGTACTCTGGTTGCTGTCCGCCGAGCAGAGGGCTCAAGTTCATGGTCCAATAGCTGACCGGCCGAGGACCGGCTTCTTGCTCTTGATCAGGCATGTCGGAAGGCGATGCGGGTTTTGGTTTGGAGAGCGGTCTTCAGGCTGAGACGAAGACCTCGTGCCCAAGCATCAATATATGTTGAGGAACCTATGTGAGTTTCCTCTACGCACTAGGCCAGACTTGCCACCTGGTATCTTGGTCATAGTCATGCCGCGTCACGCTGGCGAGACACGACGGACAAAGAAGGAAAACGTCACAGGGCCCTAGATTTATATCGGCTACATGAACCGAACGATCCGCATCAAATATCGGAACTCGAGTTTCAGATACCTACATCGATTTGACCATCTTCTCAGTATGTGAGTGACACCAGAGACATTAGTTGCGACTTTCCAGAATATACCCATGCGGACGAGCGCGGTTCCTGTAGCAAGTCGATGAGTTTGCTAAAGGCCTTGTTACTCAAGGCAGTCGAGCGACAGCCAGACGCCAATCGGCGTGATGCAAAACCCAAAGTGGCTGCAGGCCGTCGTTTGCACTGTCCTTGAGCCCATGCAATGCAGAAGCCCAACACCTCAAGACAACATTGAACTGTCCATAGTAGGCTCTCGCTCAGAGCGCACGGTGTCACGTCATAATGCCGCTACCTATTGCTATCGTGCACCCTGATATGAGACACCTGACCCAGTATAGGCACCTCGCATAGTTCGGGACGTGATCTTGGTTCTGTAAGTAGGTACAGCTTACGCTGAGAATGGTTTTCTTTGAGAGCCTAAACCCGTTCAGGGTTTCGAACGGACGACCACAGTGTGTCTAGCAGCTCAGAAAGCCTCCTTCCAGTAGCCTGTCACTCAGCAAGTGCCCGATCGCAAGATGTAAGACCGCTCTCAGCAGCTGTCAACGGTCTTCCTGCGCCAAGCAGACTCCCGATGCCGACTTGACGCTTCGTAACAACAACTCCCATCGTTCGTCAGACAACGTTGATGGTCCGCTGTGAAGGCGCTGATCGACACCAATTGCTCCAGGGGCCAGGAGCACGACCACATTCGCATCTGGGACACCGAGAGAATTCCCTCGTTTCGAAATTTGTCAACGTCCCTGCAACGCGAAATTGCGGATAAGAAGCCAAGACCTACGCCTCGAGCACTTATCGAGAGCATCTACAATGACGGTGCCGCTTCTAGCAGGAAGGAGGCTAGCCATACCGAGTGTTATTATAGTATACAGGAATAGGTATACGAACTATATCACAACAGGCTTGGACCTTAATGCACCCATATTGAACTCAGAGAAAAGAGCAGTCTACCTGATGCTATGGAAATACAAGGCTCCCGTCTAGAGCACACAACTGAGTGCCCGGCGAGCGCTGATTCGCATCCTCTCCCGTCACAGGCCAGAATCGCGGGAACACCGAAGTTGAAGGCGGACCAGCGTTGGCGGGATTCATTACTAAAGTAACCACCTCGAAGGCATTTCGACGTGTATGTAGTTGCACTAGGCGGGATGCGGTCGAGATAACACACGATCGACTATCTCTTGACTCAGGTTAGATACCCCCCGACGTTACAACAGAGGTTCGTCAAGTCTGCGAAATGCCGTTGTCCTTCTCTCTCTCCTCAAATAGGACTCTGTACCTAGGTGGTGACTTATGCCTCTCCTCGGGCCAGCTGCGTATTGCTCTACCGGGCAGGCCGGGGTAAAGCGTCGTTAGGACGACGAAAATAAGCCTAGAGCGTATCGTGTAATGATATAAAGCTTTTCTGAATCGATATCCGCATGATGATGAGTCCTGTTCAGGTTCGAGCCAGGGAACATAGACGCAAAGAGGGGCCACAGTGCAACACTTCCCTCCAGACCGAGTTCTCGCCAGAGCCTATGCCCCAATAGGGGTCGCTGGGGTAAGACGTCGGGCCATGGGGAAAGAAGGTGGCAAAGGGCCCGGAGATCGAAGCCGTTGAGAGACCACTCAACCAGCTTGGTCACTGGCGAGAAGCCGAGCTGACGAAGCCTGGCAGCGACCTCTTCCGCTCTCATACCCTTTGTCCGAGCGTCCGTCGAAGAGAAGTCATAGATCTGGTTGAGCTTTGCGTGCATGTTAGAATCCGTGACCGCTTTCAGTTCAGCGAAAGTCAGGCCGTGATCAACGGTGCAATGCAAAGCTAGGACGCCAGTGCAGTCGCGGACCGCTATCTCACAAACCAAGTAACGGCGGTGAAGTCGATTATAAACTGCTTCGACATCCACGAAGAACGCCTCAAGCCTGCCGCCCTCGAAAATAGCCTTCTTGACGTGGCACCATTCCGGGGACACAAGTCTCCGAGGCCGCAGGCTTGTTCCAGAGAGGAACCGAAGAATCTCTGCTGGGCTCTGGGTCTTGAGGAGACCTCGGCGGACCTCAGCAGTTCGATGAAGCCGCGTTGCCTGATCCGCATGGTACCTGCAATGCCACAAGGCCTCGACTGGCTCTCTGCAAGTGGGACGACGACAGAGATGTATACCGCTGGGGGTGAACTTGCCCTCGGATACCCACTTCCGAATGCGCGTCGCCAGGGAGGCGCAGGTAGAGCAGAAGGGGTACAGCTTCACAGTCTTGCTCTTCCGTGATGATGCGCTCCGGACGTGGCCTGTCTCTACCGTGATGATTGTGCCCTGTGGGCAGTCGAAGTAGCCATGTCTCCAAATAACGCCTTCGCACGGCGTAGCCTCGAAGGCGTCGAACGTGATACCGGCATTGGAGAGACGGGAACGCACATCTCTAAGGCGTGAAATGCCCGAGTTGCTGTCCTGCGAAACGGTCGTGTCGTTGTCGTCCTCCGAGCTCGAAATGGCCGATAGATCTCCGCCACTATAGTCACAGTCTTGAGCGAGGAGTTCTGGCTCCGTCGTTACGACTCCACTGTCTCCTAGCACGGAGATCGTGAAGTCCGGCACCGAGGCGGGCATCTCCCCCGGCACCCCGCCCACGGTAAGACCGAGCTCTCGACACCACCGGATGTACGACACTGCTAGGTTTGGCGGCCCCGGTTGATGGCCCAACCAGACTGGATCGCCCACAACCCCACAGGAGTGATAACTAATCCCACTCCGTAAGAAGCTGAGTCCACATTCACTACATCGAAACAGTGGACGTCCCTTCCGGTACGAATCGACGGTCACCTGCCTAGAGCCCAAGCATTTACGGACGTGCTTAGTGATTGTTGCCAAAGCGAAACCAGAAACTTCGCATTTGGGACAGCGATACGTCCCATACCTATCGATGGCGATAGACCGGCCTTCGCACCTGGTAATGTGCAAAGCCGCACCGCGTGCTGATGCAAACCAAAGCCCACATCCTCGGGTACAGTCGAACCCGTGGCAGCGAACGGCGAGCCCCGTGCACCGCTCCTGGTGTGTCTCCACGTCGGTTTGGAGGCAAAGACAGACAGCACACCTCCGTAGGCCGTCGAAGTTGAACACCTTTAGCCTCTTCCTTTGGACAACGGGAATGGGCCGTAGAAGCGTGAAGTGCGCCCCGAAGGGTAGCGCTGAGGACTGGTTGGCGGATGGCATTTGCAATCCAAGGCAAAAATCGATTGTAGCTGAGGAGAGGGAACCCAGACGAGCGTTCGCAACTCCATTGAAGATGCGCCAGATATTTAGGTCATTCGTTGAACGATCGGGGGGAAGGGGATCCAGCCATCTCAGACCCAGACACCCGGCTTTGTCGATTACGCGACGAATGTTTCGACCTACGACATACGAAAGAAATCCCCATTGGACATGTTCAAAGTAAAGTCCGATATACTTGGTCATCATGGGCCCTAACAGCTGCACCTAATGCTCAAAACTAAATCGCCTCGGCCATCTCCCATCCCTCTGCGACTAGCGACTGAAAGACGCGGATGTTTTTGTAATGGATATCGCCGAAGCTGGCTTCCGTGACGGCACCTCTCGTCGTGGTCATTTTGCTGCCGGCGTGTTGTTGACTGTAAGGCCTTCCCTGGATTTCGTCGTCGCCTATTACTTGGTTCTTTCGGTAAGCTTATAAACCTCACCTAGTGCGAACGATGCAATCAATCGGAGCCTCGGCGGTACCCTTGCCGCACTGGAACTAGGTTCCATTGGCAAAACAACGACCACCTCCAATTGAACAAGCCGGTCAGTCTCGAAAGCCTGCTCTTGGTCGACCAGTATGGAATCAAACACATGTTGAGGGTGACTACGGGGAGATCGTCTGCTCCGGATGGCTTTCGAAAGTGGAGGTCTAGTTATCTCAAGTCATTGTTGGGTCGAAGGCCTCTCCCAGAGCGTGCAGTGACCCCAGCGCCGCCCCTTTCCATCCACAACGACGTCGACCGGCCACAATTCGCCTGGGAGGATAACCTCCACTTAGTACGTGATGACTTCTCATACCTCATGAGAGCGCCGTCCCGACACAACTGGGATACGAAGGTTCTGGACCTCATTGACACCCGTGGCCGCCATCACACTCTGAGCTACGGCCTTGGCGCTGTCGAAGGATGCCGGGTTGAGAAGTGGAGAACACAGACGATCGACAACGTACTACGAAGCTTTCGGGTGGTTTTCGGTGAGCCCTGTAATCCTCCAGGTCGGGTTTCTGTTGTTCGTGGCGCGGGGCACTAAACCACTGTTCAGGAATGACATCCGGACTTGCCAACTCGTCGGCGAGGCTTCTAGAGCAGATAGTGCGCACCTTCGACACCAGTGCGGCGATTGTGCCGCTCAGAAGGCTGGTCGACCAGGTACAGGCCGTTGTTTGTGCTCGTACTGCGTCATCACTGCGACTAGAGGTTGCGGGTCCCAACTTTTTCAACTTCTTCCTTACTGCCGTGACCAAGGACCCTTCTCTTCGAGAACACTTCCTCAGACTCAACTGGACGGAGCGGGTCGACAAACCTTTCAGCCGACAGTCGCGACTTGAGCTCCTCCACGCGCTAGTCCGGAGCCATGTGGAAAACTATCAGGGCCAAGACTTGAGCCTCCCTGGTCACTTATACTCAATATGGATCCGGTACTGCAACTTTCTTCTGGATACGCCGTTTCCAGACTTCCGCAAGAAGATAATCGCCCATGAGAAGACTTGGAAGCTCTTAGAACAATTCGCCGAACCGGCAAACAGTGCTTATAGGTGGGGCGACTATGAGCGAGGTCAGACACGAGTTCAGGAAGCGCACTACGGTGCTCCCACCAATGCTTTCACCACACATCATCTAGTTGCACTGGAGTGAAGTTTGGTACACAGGGTGGCAAAGTCAAGGACAAGCGGATTTCTCAAAGGTGGCAGGGTACGTCGTTTGGCACGTCAGGTGGGGCAAGGCAAGGGAAGCGTGCCAGACCTGCCGGCTGAAATCCAAGAAAGAGCCATGTTAGCGGAGGGAAGCTCGATGTTTGAATACGTAGTCAATGTTCCTGAAAGCCCACGGAGTGTCAATCAGTACGTGGTTTGACAGTGCCAGCCCTAGACTCATGTAAGCTTCCGAAGACCGGCAAACAGGCACCTGCTTCTCAGTCTGACCTGTGACTTCATTTAAAGAAAGCACAGTACGCCGATCGGCTGAGAGCAACTTCCTGTCCAAGTCGATTTGTCTCTGACTGAATGAGTTCCAGCCCGGAGCTCAAGCCGTCTCATGATATACTGCTATCGTATGAACCAACCCCTAGCTATCATGTATTTAGCTAACGCTCACAGCCTTAAGGACGATATCTTCGTTTGATCCTCGATCCTGAGAGCAGCCGAGATGTCGATCACACTGCTCAAGCACACTCACCTGCTACCGTGGACAAGCGACGGACGACCTATTCTTCAACGAAACACCGATACGGTGCTAAATTGGCGATCGGGCGGGTACCACCTTGTTGAACTCGACCTGCATCCCCAAAGAGCCGACTGTCCTATCATTCTCACCACGGAGGGTTTTGAGCGCTGCCCAAGATGTCTCGTGGTCGCCGGGCATATAGAAATAGATGAGCACATATTCCAAAGACTGAAGTGCGGAAGAGAGCACGAAGAGGCCGTTGATTTCTGCGTAATGAGGTGCGGACGTCCCTTTTCGGCAGCCGCAGACCCGTCCAAGGCACGATTTACACATGAGAAGACCTGCGATGGGACTGTTCCAATGCTGTCACTGGACGGAGAGACCTTGGCTTGCCCCCGTTGCCGATTTCCGGGTCTCCAGTGGGACACCTTTTCCCGGCACATTTCCAAATGTCAGGGCGACCGCCGAGACGCTGCGAAAGACGTACACGAGATATGGCTGGGACTCAAATCGCAGAAGTACATGGCAGAATGCAAATGCGGCTTCCTCATCACGTTCAGAGCATCTTCGACCCATGTGTGTGGGCTTGCCGGCGACCCTGCCTGGTTCGGCGTGCTGAAAGATATCCCCGACACGTCGGTGCCTCTTCTTAAATGGTATCAAGACCACGACCTAGGCTTCGGCGGCGCACCATTATCGACCCATTCGGCAAGTATCAGCTCGCCGCTTACGTACGCCTCTCAAGTGCCCCTCCACAAGCTCCCTGCAGACGGCGTCGCGATAGCAGATGAAGTCGTTGCGAGGCATTACGTGCTTTTTAATTGCCTCATCAGCAACGCTCAGCCCTCTGAAGATCTCGTCTCGAAGATTGCGGCTGTTCAGGACCTCCTCCGACTTTTCTACGTCCGATCTGAGGCCTTTGTAAGGTACTGCAAGCGCCAAGCAGAGGGTCTTGAAGAGGAGGGTCCTCCCGAGGCCATTGATGAAGACTTCGTCGTTGGCGACGACCCGGAGGCCGGAGAGGGCTTGGAAGATGACCTTGTCGAGGAGCTTGACGTCGTCCAGAGGGTCTTGGACGACTTTGGCAACACGGATAGTCTGCTGGGCCATCTTGGCTCCGGCCTTCCGCATGGGAAAAGCTTTATACATCCTATAAACTACCATGCGGAGACGAGGAACCTGACGAGAGAGTTCTTAGCGAAGATGAAAACTTTGGCGGTAAGTGGGATAGACTCATAGCGGAGCGGACATCGTACTGACGTGGTATAAAGGTGGACCAACGAAGCGAACTGGCGGACGATGCGGTGAAGGGCCTCAGGAATCTCCTGAACCGAGCTACGCTTCAGTGGGCGGGCATCACGCACGACGAGCCTGTTCTCTCTCGAGCCTGTCCGGGCTTCCAATGGAGGCACGCGCAGCATGCGTGCCCCTGGGGCGTGGAGAATATCGACTTGTCTCACGCGCATATCACGCCCAAGTTCGGGGCATTTTACCTAATAGCTCCGGCTTGCTCGGGATGCTGGGACTTGGCGGCAAAGTTCGCTAAATGGGTGAACCTGTCCAAGTACTCAAGTGATGGCCGCCCTATCTGCTGCTCCAACGGATGCCAGGAGACTCGGTGGATTGGAAAGTTGTGTAAATCACATCGGGAAACAGATCACAGAAAACGGGTCCGTGATACAATAACGCTCGCCTCTGATAGCAAAGGGACTATCGACAACGCCCTGCAGGCTTTGCTAACGACGGAAGACCTAGAGACAAGTCTCAGCCACGTCACCCCTCGAGAGCGAGGCAATCCGCACGACCCTTGGGAGCGCGTCGCGGCAGAGGTTTTTGGGGAGTGCCAGCCTACGAATGTGTTCTTCGTTGATACCGAATGGGCATACGCAGAGGGTAGGAGGCTGTTGTTTGAGGTAAGCTTTGTAGATGGAAGCGGGAAGAACCTCCTCACGACGACCATTGATCACGGCTGTACTATTGAGCATCTTACTCTACCGTTCAAGCGCAATTATCGCAACATAATCCCTTATGCGCTCGGCATCTACTCCCGGGAAGGAAATAATAGACCCGCACAACTTGACGACCAAACGCACGGCTTGACCCCTGACGAACTCCGAGACAGGATGCGGGAGATTGGGATTGGTCCCGACTCAATCGTTGTCGAGTGGTCAGTCGGCCGCTGCGACAGAGCAAACGTGACGGAATGTGTAGGTTCGGATTTCGACTCTGGGACATGGGTTACGGGCATGGAAGTACTGAAAACCATGGGCTGGCGCGGTACAAGGCAACTCATCTCCTTGTTTTCTTTGTTCTTTCCGAATGACCCTAAGCGGTGGAGAGCCCACAGGGCCAACATTGATGCCATCAAGACCTTGCAGTTGATGCGGAAGCTGCTCGGCTATCTCTACAGGCCTAGAAGCAGTTGAGAAATGCCGGGCGAGGCGATTGCGATACATATCTATCCACCATACTTTCTAGCGATGAATATCAGAGCATGCCTCGCCCCATGGCAGACTATTGTACGGTAACATGATCACCAGATAGGACACAATACCGCGTGCGAAAGGTTTCTACTGTAATCATCTGCATAATATCTGAAGATAAAGATACTCGAAGCCCCTCGACAGAAGCTCCGTAGGAATGGTCTGCGGCAGACGGACGAGACCATTCCAGGCCCGAGGAGCTACCCTTGTGTGGGATGAAATTGCTGCATAATTCTGTGGCAGGCCCAGCCTCCAACCCCCTCCCCCATCCCCATCCCCCCTTTCCTCGAAGACCGATAAATGCCCTGATGCTGAGACCAGATCAAAACGAACTGTCTTACTGGTTCGATGGACCACTCTCCGACTCTGGCTTTGGCCTACGCCATTGGGGTATTGAGCTCTGAGCCCAGATGTCCTCACGCTTCACGTTGTACTTCTCTATAGCCTCTTTAATCGATAGATTGCCGGCTTCGCAATCGGCGGCTGCTAGCTTGATTCGCTTTTGGCGTTCTTCCTTCTTCGCTTGCATATCTCCTGCGGTTCTCGGTTGTGCGAGGTATATTGCGATGGTGGCTTTCCGCATCTTGTATACCTCCTCCGCCTCCTTGAGGGACATCACTCCCTTATCAACATCTGCCGCGGCCGCCTTCGCTCGGCGAACCTGCTCGACTTCGTGTTTCCAAACCTTCAAGGGATGGATTTGTCGCCGTAGGACTTTATGCTTGATCTTGTATTTCTTTGCGGCATCGACGGGCGACATATTCTCAGTCAGGACGGCGGCGATAGCAGCTCCTATGTTGCGAAGTTCCAAGTCGGGGTCATGTGCAAGCTCTCTTCGTCTGAACCAGTCGAGATCTTTGGCTGACAGGCGGTTGCGCTTGTACGCCTTGAAGACCGAGAAACCAGACTTGATGTCTTCAAAAGCCAAAAGTCGACGTCGGTGCAGGTCCTCCGCATCAGGACGTACAGCGAAGGGAGTCAGATAACCCAGCGACACGGTTTCATACTTGGATACAGCCTGGCGAACGGTCAGGGCACCAGATCGAACCTCCTCAACGGCCTTCCAGAATTCCTCGTTCATCTCGCTTGCAGACCTCTTCTGCCGATCCTGTTCGGTCGCCGAGTTATCTAGTCCCGACTGATTCTGTGTAAGTGGAGGACCTCGATTTCGTTTCTGCCAGGCCTTGTGCTTTTGTAGTCTTCGAATCCTCCTCTTCGCGACTGGGCTGAGGTCTTCAGGAATTGAGAGAGTGACCGTATCACGAAATAATGCTTCAATGATGTCCATGATGGCTTTGGCACGTAAGCCATCATCCCACGCTTGACTCCGATGGTGTAGAATCAGCGGGACAAAAAACCTGTCGCCCTTGGTGTCTACAACGGTCAACCCCTCATCCTCAATGCCAGGATGAGGGAAGGCCACCTTGCCTTCGCCATCGAGAAGATGTTTGTTCTGCTCCAGATTCCAAGTATGGTGTCGTGCGAGAAGCGGGAGAGGTCTAGTCAGGCCAAAAAGCGCAAACCTCCACTTCTTCAGTGCACTTAAGACGCTAGACCTCTTCATCCCAGCAAAGGCAGGACACTCTAGACTAGGGTCCGGTTGTTCAGGATCATCGCCATGGTCACTGCCCCCATCGCCGTCTCCATCTTGTGTGTCATCTTCTTGATCGTCGTCGTCGTCGGCTCCGAGAGGCTTGACGACGGTGTACTTGTGAGTGTTTCCCTCGGTATCTGTGAGGTCAAGAACGCCATCGTCGATAACTTTCTCCAGGGCGTCGCGTTGGAAGATGTGTGTGTTGTCGGATGTCTCGAAATCTGTCCTTGGTTTGCATGGAAATGTTGCTGGGAAGAACGGGCACCGCTCACACTTTCACACTGTCAGTACAGGTCTACATTCGGTACAAGTAAGACGGGATGCTGGGCGGTCCTTATCATCAACGTACCGTGAAATGAAATAGCGGCGTTGTGCCCCCTCTTCCGGCGTAGGCGCGTCCATGGGCCGGTCTGAGGACATGGTGAAGATTAAGCCGCTTGGAGTTGCGGAGCTCCGTCGATTGCGAGTCACTGCTCTGGGCAGTTGATGGACTCCGGACATCCATAGCTAGAAAGTAGAATGGTCCGACATAATACGAGAGCGGTGCGGTTAAGTTAAAGGAGAAGATTGGATGCCCTATTTTCCGAGTCATCGAGACTATAAGTAAGCCAAGTGCGCTGGGTCTTGAACCCAATAAGTCGGGCCATGGAAGCTTCGGGTTGACCCCGAAAGCTTCATGTGGCGAGAATTATATCTGGTTGGGCCATATTCAAGGTTATAGGCAAAAGGAATTCCGAGTCCAGTAGGTATTAGTTGTTTCCCGAAGGCTCTGGCCATGTAATGTCCTTTCATGCTACACTTTTTCGAGTATCCATTAGTGCCTTAGTCTACTGTAGTACGAGAGACTCACAAGGATCGAGATCACATTTCGAACGAAGAAAACCATCTCTGATTTAGTCACACTTCAATCGTCATAGGAAACAGGGGTTGAGCAGTATCGTTATAGAAATGGTTCACAAGTAGTATAGTGGTCCTGCTACCTTTGGTGCATCCATATCACGATAGCTCGGTCTCTTCAATCTCTTTACTAAGTAGCTAGAAGACTCAATGCACCAGGTCAAGGAAGAGCCTTGCTGACATGGAAGGTATCCGCCAATACTCATGACCACGACAGATAGAACTGCGGTAAAAGCCGTGGTCAACCTCCCGAGCTGCAGATCAGGTACCATTATACTAGCATTCTTTTGGTATTGCACGACCTTAGTTCCGAGTCCCAGAAGCCCTGACTGTAGGCCGAAACGGGCTCTGTGTAGTTGGCCTGTCAAGGGCTCGAAATCGTTGCGTGTGGGTTAGGTAGCTTAAGCGGGACGTCGGGCCGTTCCATTCCAACGATCTCACCATTTCTAATGTTCCGGCTAGCCACAAGAAGAGCTCTTCTCAGACCAGACACGAGGGCTATACGTACAGTGACGTTACGTGACGTGCCATATGATGTCGGCAACTTCATGTACAGGTGATCCATATCAACCTTGATTGCGAAACCTTGACAGAGGGAGACGGTGGGTTGCGCAGATGTCCAGTCGGTCGGCGAAGAAAGTTCCTGTGATACGAGATTGCCGGGCAGTAGGGCTATGGTGTCTCCCTCACGAAGCACTATGCTCTCAGCTTCCGGGTTCCGGTGATTACCGAGAAGGAATGCACGTAGATATATGCTTGGTTTTTTGGATCCATCTGATTTGAAAATGCGAAGAGAGGGGTGTTGCTTTCGCGACCAATCCTGAAAACATGGGCAATGGCTGTTCTGACCGCACACATAGCAAGGCAGCTGCCCAGAAGTAACATGATCCTTGCTAAGAGATTCTTGATTCCACTCAATCTTGACGATCCTCAGGAGCTCAAGCAGGCGCTGGGGGTCTTCGATAGAAGCTACGCGTTCGGACGCGCCAGCCGCCTCTCTGTCGTATTCGAAACACAGATCTCTACCACCTCGGACGAGATCCGCGAACGCAGAGCCGAACTCTCGTAGAATCGTAGATACCGTGGGGCGAGAAGCGAGCCTTTTGTGTAAACGCTCTATATGGTGTTCACTTGCGTCTCTGAGGGCATTCTTGCTCGGAAGAGCGGCCAGAAAGCCGAGATCGGGGCAACTGAGACGATAGTAAGCCTGACCCCAAGCAAGGTAACGTCGCATCGATTTTCGTCGGCTGTGTCCCTCCGCACTTTTGGATGCGTATGTTATAACCAGCTTGTCGACGGCTTCTTTCGACCGCCTTTGTCGCCCATTATCTTGAGCGTTGTTATGTAAGTGCAGCATGATGAGAGCCATGTGGGATTGGAATGTCGAGAGCTCGGACTTGGCTTTGAATGCTTCGTGCTGCTGGATCAGAATGGAGGAATGGCCGGTCTGGCTCTGCCCGGGGCTCCTGGGGAGGATGAACATCGATAGAGCATCGGCGCTAGAGCACCGCCATGCCTCCAGAATTTTGATACACCTCTGAGCACCATGGCCGTCAAGAACGCCCTCTGCAATCGCGTCGATTTCGAGTGCCCGAGCCTCGATACGTTGGCGCTTGCAGGCTTTCGCGGGTCCCTCCGCGGGTGGGCTGAAGGAGCCCGTACACGGAGACGCTCTCTTTCGTTGCGATGTCGACGCCGCGCCTTGGTCTATTCTCGACTCAGGTTTCTGCCTCCTGGCTGAAAGCTTTTGGCCATGTAGCCTAGCCTGAATATGAGTGTTTCCTCCAGCGGAGGCGCCTTTCTCTCTTGAGAGAGGCGCTGGCGGCGAGATGCCTACATCTAGCGGCCTGAACACGCTTCCGCCGTCTGAACCATTACCTAACAGAGCTTGAGCTTTCTCTGGGTCCAGATGACGTTTGGTAATGCCCGAATCACCGGCACAGCGTGATGAGCAGAACCTGTAGTCAGTCAGAAGTTCTGCTATAGGACTCCAGGCGACGTTGACGGCCTCGGCAATGTTGACTCCTCTATTAATCACTTGGTGATAGGTATCGGGCATTGTGGCAATCAGCTCTCCGGCGTAGCAGTCGACAATGTTATACTTGATATTCCAATGGTCAAGCGTCTCCGACGGGATGATCCTGTTCAGGTGGCGAACGAACTGCGAACAAGACGTCCTAGTGCCCGTGGCGACCCCGCACGCTTTTGCAATGCGTTCCTCCAGTCTCCGGGACGAACCTGGCTCGACTATGAGCCACGCCTTAGGGCCACCCCAACGGACCATGTTAACCGATGCACTGCGCAAGTCCTCGATGTGCATCGTAGTTGTCGTCAGGGGGTCAATGGCGCAATAGAGATACGGCGACGATACCCCGTCGACGTTTTCTCTGAGGATAGCCCGTAGCTGAACTCCGCAGTCTAGGTACCCCGGGTCAAGGCCCTCGAACGCGCTCAAGTTCCCGACGAGATAAGTCTTTTGAGACAAATCAGCCACGGTCTCGCGTCTGAAAGCCGACCCAAAGTCGGTAGAAACGCCAAGGCCGCGACTACCGCCCATGGTTCTGGAGTCCCCTTCTTTTACACGCCCCGTATTATGGTACTCTATCCGGTTCGTGCCGTCTTTGAGTGTTTCGGATCGAGTCGTCGTGTAGGAGTCGATGGGTGCGATGGCGGTGACCGTCATTTCCGTGCGGTCTGGCACCCTATAGTCTGAGACTTTGATTTTGATAAATCCAGACTGCCGTACCGTCTTTTCCTGCGCAAGGAGGCCGAGCGTTCTAGCCGTGCGCTGGCCAAGATCTGCTACGACACAAGGAAACACGGGCGGTTGTGCGACAGAGCCCAAAGGGCCTTTGTCTGCAGTATGGGGCAGAGGAAGGTGTGGCTTCAATGCTACTTCACACAAAGAGTCCGTGTTGTTCTGGGAAAGGCGGTCGCGGACCTCTTTATCTGTAAGGAGAGGGATGGTACGGGATTGTTTTAGGGACGAGCAGTCTTGATCCTCCAAAAGAAGCGGATATTGGTCAGGGCGAGCGCCACGATGAGAGCCCCTGCGGGGGGACACTGAATCTTTCTTAGACTCCCTAGTAGGCAGTGTCTCGCTTGAAAGCGTGCGAGGAGGACCCCCCGTAAAATCGAAGGCGCTCGTTGAATGATTTTGTCGGATGCCATTTTCCCTTCCAACTCTGGTATTGTGCGTCGTCCGCGGGATGGCTCCCACGACCGAGCTGTCGGTGCTGGGGCCATTGGGTATGCCTGACTGTAGGATCTCATCTACTTTCTCTCTTATAGAGAGGAGCACTACAAGACTTGCGTTGGAGATGGTGGGTCCGTAGGGAACTCTACGAAGAGGTCGGGATGCTTCCTGTTGTGTATCGGATGATGCCACCTCAGGTCGAGCTTCGTAGATCAGGAACAGGTCCGTTACTTTGCATAGGGTCTCGGGCATAACGTACTCTGTTGGAAAGTTCTCCAGAGGCCTTCGAGCTCTTCGATGGCGCTCATCTCGTTGTGCTTGTTGCATTTATGTCTTAAGTGAGTGGTTTTGAGGAAGCGTCGGTGAGAATGTCGGGAAGTCTGCGCGCTCTTCTATGGGTAATGATTCATCAAGTCGACTCGCAAGATGTGATGTTTGCCCGGTCTGGCGGTGTTCGCGTTAGCTGAGGTTGGAAAGCGGCATCGCACACCGGACTTGGGGAGAAAATTTTCCCTGACGCATTGACAGTAAGCTCTCGCGCAATAAGAGTTCAATAACCGTCGAAACCCCGTAGGCGCGTTGGCAAACGACGAGATATTCGGCAACCTGCATAGGTCACATCGATCAACCGGCTCAGGAGTGTCCCTCTGTTCTGCTATGAACATGATACCTCCATGCATACGCACGTAACTCTATACCCTTTGTTTGGCATATCACTTGAAGAAAAGCGAGTCCGAATATCCAGCATTAGCTTTGAGTCTGTGGTTACCTAAGATCTCGCGATATCATATCACTGACGTTGGTCGTGAATGGCGCACGAGCCACAACAACCCTGGAGGGAAACTACGCAAGCATCACCGGTAGATTAACAAGCGACACCATCACAGAGGTTCACCCTTGGGATGTCTGCTCATCCTCTAGAATGCTTTCGGCAGAAAAGTGCGGCACATTGTTAAGCTCGTATAATCGACACTGTGTGCTCCATTTATGCGCTAGTCTCAGCTCTATCCTTGTTACATGTTACGTCCTTTCTTAGTCAAGCTAAACGAAACCGTCCTCCTTCCTCGCTGAGTCCAGTAATCGGACCCAGGGAGCCGCCCCTCGGCCTCCTATCCAGCCTGCTGCAGTCAGACTGGTGGAAGAGTCTCCTCGGGACTAGTATGTTCTCGTGCTTTGAAACAACCTCCTTTGAGGTTGAGCGCGGGGACTAATCAGCCCACAGTGATCCACCTGCTGCAGTCAGGCGGGTCACACGGGTCAACAGAATGAGCCTCATGGACCTGAGATGGTGTCATATAGTTGAGAGAAGCTCGGAAACGACCCTTCGAGAATCTGCCCATAGCCCCTGTCGCCTATCTCCAACCTGCTGCAGTCAGGCTGGGGCAAGGGGCGGGAGGCAGGTCTACGACGGTGTAATCCGGCACGGCAAAAACTGTATGCCTTATGAAAGCGATAGAATATGGCAATCCAAGCGATGTACAAGGCCCATCAACTCCCCCAAGACATAATGTATCATTCCCAGGCGTCCCCGGCAGGTACAGTTGTTCAAGAGTAGAGAAGATGGTCCCAATGGCAGGGTATTGATGAGTATTCTTGATAAGTGGGAAGTGGTATTCTTTTTTTGTGTGGTTTCTTGTGTGGTTTCTTGTGTGGTTTCTTGTGTGGTTTCTTGTGTGGTTTCTTGTGTGGTTTCTTGTGTGGTTTCTTGTCTGTCTGGTTCTTTTGTTGTCCCCTTCTCATATAGACGGTGGCCAGGAGAATGTAACTCGCCGAGCTTCTCCTTGCGTGTGATTTTGCGGGCTTTGCTAAGCGGTCACCAGGACCGGAAGTCGCTATTGGCTTCTGTTCTTGTTTTTCTTTGGAGGTGGTGATGGTGATCGGGTTGGTTTTCTGTTTGTACTTCTTTTGGGTAGATAACCTAGGATTGTTCTTTTTTCTTTTGGTCCAGTGTGAGGTCTGTTAGGCCTTTTCGTAGCACTATGTATGTAGACCCAGGCGTCCCCGGGTATACAATGGGTGCTCGAAAGTAATGATTGAGTGTTACGATAGAACATAGCGAAATGCTAGGTATAGACCTATGCTATGTCAAGGCGATGGGAAGATGGATTTAAGCTCGAATAATAACGCCTGTATGTGATTGCTAGTACATTCTGCGTAAGTGTGTAGAACATGCTATGAAAGAATCCGTATATACGGTAAGGGATTAGATAGTTGCTTGCTGAGTCGATCGCTGTTTTAGACTTAGTTAGATAGATAAAGAAAGTTTCCTAGTTTGCTAAAGATTTCGTTATGTCGAGGCTAAAGATAGGTAACGAATCTTCTCTCCTGTTCTTGTAAATAGAATAAGTAGTATCCAAATATAGAAATCGCGGAGTCGTCATGTCGTAGCCTTTATAAACGGCTATACCCGTGGGCATCCCTTTATTGAGCACAACTCCGTTATCTCTTCCCGTATAATAGGCCTTTTCCCGGTCTATTTACAATATTTTATAATGTGGTGGTTTTTTTTCCGGCTTTACAGGCACAAAAGATCGACCTTAACGGGATCACGCTTTCAAGGGAAATCACACGATACAGTACACTTTTTAACTACACAATACGCGCAATGTATCCCAAGCACGCGCTCAACGCAATATAGTGATTTCGATACGAAAACCGCCATTCAATTCGGGATGGGCAAGCTGCCCTCTTCGGCGGCGGCGCCGGCCGGAAAGGTCGACGGCAGAGGTCGGCCGTAATGGTTGGCCGCAATGGTCGGCCGCAATGGTCGGAGGCGGCCCTCAACCGCAGAGGTTCTGAACTTTGATGGCGACGTAGAGGTTTCCGGAGAAAGGGCAAAATGGGCCAATATCTGCTGCTCAGAGCTCGCAAAGATTCTTTCCATCCTCATCGCTTCCAACATCGCCCAAAGCTGCTCTCCATTCAAACCAAACAAATCCACCAAACAAATCCACCAAACAAATCCACCAAACAAACCCATCAATACACAAACCACCACTCTACCAAAGATGCCCGTCGACAAGTCTGCCCCTCTCGGGCTGGGCGCCCTCGGCCAGCTCGACGCTGTGGCCATCGTGGCCAACGTGGGCACGCCCAAGAAGTGGCGAAGTACCTTCCGGCGGTGCGGAATTCGGCTGGGCGACATCACAGGCGCCGTGGACAGCCGGGCCGGTACGGATGCCAGGATCCGGCACATCGACGCCGGCCTGGCCATAATGGCCACGATGGACGGGCCGGAGGTGTACAGGGGTCAGGGCGATAAGCCGGCGCCTCAGACGGCTCCTACGGGACCCCCCGGGTAACGATAATACCTATATAAAAGAACAGATTATGCTGGACCTGGCTGCCCACGCGGGCTGGCACCAGGAGGTCCTGTGCGCGTTGGAGTGGGTGAAGCTCGCCCTGTAGGCGGCTGGAACTTGGGAGGACTTCACGCGGCGGAAGGTTGGGAGCTGTTGATGAAAGGGAGACAATGGTCGAGTCGGTTGATTTTGGTTAGTAGTTAGGTATGGAGCGCATTATACCCAGTTTTCCCCAATACGTAATACACGGTACGGCCCCGGCGGATTGCTCCGTCGGGGGGATATTTTATAATATTACCCTTCTTTTTAAAGTAATATCTAGGTTACGGGACTTAATAATATCCGTGATTCTAAAAAATGTAGATTATTAGTCAAGGGCTATATCTAAGTACTATAAATAATATTTAGTATATTACCTAAATTAAATAATAAGAAATCGCAAAAGATAATAACCGAAGCCAATATCTTAGGGAACAAGCCTCATGTACAGAACACACAGTGAACATATCGAACCACACAAGTAATCTTCAAGGACCTTAATTTAAGGTACAATTGAAGTTATGGACGTGGACTTTACCGAGAGGGGACCCGCCAAGGTAGATAGATCAGATAAACAGGGTCTGGAATGCTTATATATATGAGATAGCATTACCATCATCTCTTTTACAACTCTCTATTGGTCCACAAGCTGGAATTGAACTGAAGTGCTTGGGTTGCCATCCCGAACACCGCGGCAGTCCAGAAGGTTGGGCGATAACCAACTAGACTACTTCTGTGCAATTGAAGCCTATGGAGAGATTGTTGACGATGAAATCGTCAGAATGGTATATAGAGGCAGGTAGCGGTCACGATGTGGCAAGTTGGACGTCAATCTATATCTGTGTGGGTGTGGCAGCAGTCCAGAGATCGTAGGCAAACTTACCCCGCACGGCAACCACGAACGGGCAATTAAGAAGGAAAGAGACGCTGGGTCGTAATTGGCAATTTGGCAATTAGAAGGGCAAGAGACACGCGGTCGTAATCAGCAATGTGCAATTACGACTAGGGGCGGCTGCCGTAGATTCGGAGCCTCGCATCAGTCATCATTCTGACTAAGCTTGGCTTCGGAAGTTTCGCTCAAGGGCCCAGTCCCAATCCTGTAGCGTCCAACGTATCTTGCCAGGCGTTATCCTACCCCTCATCTCTAAGTGATCTCTAAGTATCAAAGCACGACTTTCTGAAGCCCACATGTAATCTTCTGAGACTCAAGTTACACAGCATGATAGAAGGGACTATGTTAAAAAGATGTCGATCTGCCGAATCCATTCTTGTATTATGCTAATGACTGGAGCCACCCCCACCCTACCTCTAATGCTAAAAATGTGAACCACCCACGAAGCCTTGAAAGTACGATTGCTTAACACTAGTCCATTCCTATGCCACCATGTAACCTAGCCAAGCATCTCTACACAACGAGAGTACCTGGCCCAACGAAAGCTTCGCTTACAATGAGAGATCTATCACCCGAAACCCCTCCGCTAACCACCTTCCTGTGAGACCCCCCTCTTAGTCCTGCCGGCCCTGTATATCGCACTCAACCTCTCAGCGAGTCCCGATATTTCAGGAACTCGACTGATGACGTAGAAAGCATGTGCATGGCATCCACCATACCCGTCAGCGCTACCTTGGCTTGTTCCTGCGCAGCCGTCAATCTCTGAACCTGAATGTCGTAGTCGGTCAGGGCTGGATCTCCCGGTTGATGCTGCTGCTGCTGCTGCATCTGGCCACTTGAGAATGGCGCTTTAGCAAGTGCTTGCTGTAGATTGGGATAGTGAGGCTTCGGGGCGTGAACCTGTCCACTGCCGATGTGAGGAGACTGAGGAGGCCAGGCGCCCTGCGGCTGTGAAAACGTGGCTTGTTGAGGGGCTGATGCCGGCGCCGGTTGTCCTTGGCCCTGGTGGACTGGGGTAGAGGATGGCACGCCAGGGTTATCGCGATTCCATGCCTTGTAGCTCTCCCAGTTGTCGCCTTGTAGCGCTTTGTTCTGAATCAGTGGCATCGGGATGTTGCCTGGCGTGGGCGGTAGCTCGTATGTACCAACGTCGGACAGATCTGTGGTCACATGCATCGGCGGATGGCCTACGGGATATGCTCCTGGAGCCTTCGGGGTTAAGGTATGTCTAGAGGCAGTGCTGGCTTCGTCGGCATTATAGTGAATGTTGCAGAAGGTGTGGAAGTCGTCTTGCAATCCGACCTCGCATTCGGCGCCGATCGCGTGGGCGAGCAAGTAACTAAAATAACTAGCTTTCGACGCGAACGAGGAAGATGGAAGAGCAGGGGCCATTTCGATAGAGGTTAACGACTAGAAGGACTAGAGACTAAAGCTGTGGTACTAAGGGGGCTTGGGTGATCTGGGAAAGGTGTCTACAAGTGGTACTGGAGCAGTGGCGTTAGCCCGATCATATACTCTTCTACTCACCCTTGAGAAAGCGTAATCGTCGAACTATGATCGTCCTAATCGAGTTACATTTCCGCTTTTGCGGCAAAAGTCCTCATTCCTTCACGTTAGGAAGTACCGTGGTTCTTTCGGCACACGGGAACTCGCGCCGCAAATAATGTCTGATAGTTGGACCATGTTACCAATTACTTTTAGACTCTGCGTCGAAAAGGAAATGCTTATACTACTGCGGCTGAGAGCTTTCGATGACCTGGATCATTTCTTTCACACTGCTGTCGTAGCAAAAGACGTCCAGAAGGAACATTCTTCATTCATCCTAGGAGGATCACGCTACATTCGATGGTTTACGTAGTAGGAGTCACAGATTTTTAAACCTGCGTCGGTCCGTAGTTCGCTAACCTTTCGAACCCTGTATTTGATACGAGACGTGACGAGACAATCCGCTGCAGCTTTAAACAACTTTTAGCTGAAGCTCTGCGGGCTTGACGAAATCACTTAGCCGAGACTCTGTGCCGATCGGCAAGCGCGGTAAAAGCGCAGCTCCGTCCCTCTCATAATCTGGCAGAAGCGAAACCCAGTGATACTATAGAGACTCAAAGCCACAAAGCCGTTCCTTCCATGGTCCAAGCACGATGACGTGGTAGAGGTGGCGTAGGTGAGTTGTGTACCGCCTCGCGGCTTCACTCCTCAGGGTGAAGGGGTACTTGCATCACTTGCCGGAAATTGTTTGGCTCTGCGCACATTACCCCTTCTCTCGATGTCTTACTCAGAGGATCTAATACCCGACGAGCGCAATGTGCTGCATCTTATTTCGCATGTTCCGTATATTATGAACAGCTCACCGTCTACTTCGATTGCTGAGCTCTTCAGTTACACCTTCCTATAGCGGCAACCTCTCCCTGTCATTTCACAGACCCAACATACTGCCTCATACCCTGTGTGTTCCGTGCCTAGTACGTTGAGTTGTTGTGCTCTTGACCGGCCACATTGGTTGCTGATCTCGAAAGCTGCAAATCCATACAGAAGCAATATCCTGCTCTAGGCGCGACTTCTCATCTTACAGTTTCTACTCCGCGAGGTCGTCTGAAGATGATGCAGAGCTCACGAGAGCCGACCGTGGCCGCGGGCGGCGATCCAAAAGTAAGCAGATTTCCTTCTGGTCGGTTTCCGTTTTGCTATTAAGCTGGCGGACTCGATGATATCCCCCTTCAGGCCAGCTTGAACCTCTAGGTCTCAGTCCTCCAACTAACGTTCCGAGTAATAGGATCGATCTTCATACGTCTTCCGCGGCCGCACAATCGGCGAGTTGGTCGGTGGAGCGCCTAATTGCAAAGTACAGTGGTCCGCTTCTGACAAAATCCTCGTCCATGGGTTTTTGGCGTACTATCGTGTTACCGCCGAGACGCTGAAAGAGCTGAAGAACGCACCCTCAGACGAGAAGACTCGGATTCGTACCGTCGAGAAGTACTCAAACCACCAAGGCGCGAACAAGTATCCGAAGAGTGCGGATTTGCATGTGCTCGCAATCCGTATGAACATCGACCTTGCGACTCTTACCGACGAGGAATGGCGCGCGATCCGAACGAAGATGTTGTCGAGCTTGACCTACTACCTCCAGAAGTTCAAGAAGGAGAAGCCGCTCCCAACTGTTTACGATAAGAAGATCAACAAGTCGGTGGTCGAATGGCCCGAGAACATTCGTAACGATATGATCTTGGGCTGGTATGTCGCACGAGATCCCGGCGGCTGTTCCACTAGCATCGCCAAGCATCGCCCCGTCGACCCGCCGAGCTCAATTGCAAAGAGCTCCGTTGCCGGACATCTGCGATCGACTATGAGGGCGGTGCCGAAACTTCAGCACCCACGTCACAATGGTCAATGGGAGCCATCCGGTTGGAGCTCTTCGTCTAACGCGTCATCGGACTCCTCGCCGGCCACCTCGCCGGCCACTTCGCCGGATCGGTGCCACTTCTCTTATCGAGACCAGAAGTTTCTCGCATTGACCTCGGCCGAAACTAACTACCGACCCGCCGTTCACTCTACCGGAGGACCGGTACCGGATATCCAACGCCTCATCGATGCTTTGCACCAGCAGACGGACAGACTCGTTGGCAGGCTTCTCGAAGAAATCAACGCCTTATTGGTTTCGGTACAGGGTCGGTCCCGCGCCGAAAGTGATCGCAAGCGTCTCTACGTTGAACACGTTAGAAAGGCAAGGGAACAGGCACGCCAGGACCGGATGGAGTGCGTATCACGCATTAAGGCGCAGTTGGAGGTGCTGGGCCTCGATGACGCAGAGAAGGGGATCTGGGCATGGCTGTACCACGACGCATTCGACGAGGCACTGATGAACTTTATCCTCTACATGTAGGCTGACCTGGAGTCGGTTCCTGGGCAGCGAGGGGAAGACTATGTTAGAACGGTGGAACGGTAGATGCGTGCTTACATATAGAAGGAGTTGGGGTTGGCGTTTCTCTAATCTTATCCATCAATGTTCTCGTCTACCTCGCTGTCTCCCTCTTTCTATCCCGATTATACGCATATAAATATGCTAAGAGAACGTCTGTTGTAGCGTACTCCGGAACTCTTGAGCCTTTGTCTTTAGCGTCATCTCCACGTCGATCGCGTCGCTGTCTTTCTCCTTTTCAAGACCACCCTGACCCTCGACTCTTTTCTGGAGGTCCTCTAGGCTCACTGACAGCGCCACGGTGCTCCGCTTCCAGTCTGCCAGGCTGGTCCTTCTCCTCTCAAACCTTTCCATTTCCAACACCGATATCCGACATTGGCTCGAAGCCATGGCGCGCCAGAGCTCCAAGTGGAGCGTTGCCCTTCCGACATTCTCATAATCGACACTTTTCCCGGCGATGCCGTCCTGGCCCAGTGCCTTCAGGTCATCGTAGCGATGTTCTCCGATCGACGCCGCTTCCTGGAAAACTCTTTCCAGTGCGCATACCGACATAACAAGGTCTTGGCGCAGCTGGCTGGTGTTAACATACTTTGTGATCTCGTCCCCAACGCCCTTGACACCTTTCAGGATATTAATAAACCGCTTAGCCCTTCTTGCGACGGCTTTCTGGGTCACTGTCGGGCTATCCCAAAGCAGAGTCTCTGGCAGCGCAACGATTGCCCGAAACCTGTCAGCCCAGCTTAGATCTGCCATCTTATCTGCAGGGTTCTGATCGATAAGGTAGAGTAGTACCGAAGAAGCCTGGTAAGATTCTTGTAAAATCTTCTGTGTCTTGTCATGGAAGGCATTGCTCTCATACTGGATTGCGGCAACGATGTCCTGGATGTGAATATCAACCGCGAAGGTCTGTCCTACGTCTGTGGACTTTAGATTACTACCACTGATGAGTATCTCGTGCCCCGTCCTCTCAGCTAGTGATGCTAGATCATTTGACCCTAGGAGGGCCTTTCTCAAACACTCCAGGGAAAAGCTGCTGCTCTTATCGCTCCCGGATTGTCGTAGGATAGAGGAAAGATTGCGAGCCCCCATCCACAGGTCATCGTGATAGGTCGACAACGATCCTAGAACCAGATCGTATTCCTTTTTGTCGAAAATTTGTGCGTTACCTGCGAGCCATTGTGGCAATAGACTGTTCAGTGGGCTTAGTGAGAGGTAACTGCCCAGATGTGTGATGCTGGACCGTGCCGTTGCGGTAGCTGTCGCAGTCGCGAGAAACACCGCCGATAGTCCCATCACTGCGGCGGCGATATAGAGCCAAGTGCACGGCGGCACTACTCTGAATAGCAGGCGCAAGAGCTCGAGAGGCATCCCCAGAATTCTGCGTATCTGGGCCCAATTCCGCAATACCCAAGCCAAGAAAGCATCAAAACTGCCGCCCGTCGCTTGACTTTCATTCTTGACATCTGTCGGCCTGGATGTCCTCCGTGTGTCTTTGTATGAGGCCTGCCATCTCCGGAAACCGGGATTATAGTTCGAAAACATAGGCCTAAAGGAGTTCTCCGACTTTTCGTTCCGCCGTCTCGCTCTTCGTGTAGCTCTTTCGAGCCAATCCTCGCCCTGTGGCATGGCGACTGCTTTGCTTGCTGGGGTCTCCGCGTTCCTATGGCTTAGCCGGTACTTGGGCAATGTGCGATGGAGGGCAGAGGATGTATCGGAATTTATGCCACTGGTCATGCCCTCCGGGCTCTCTGTATATAGCTCGAGTGACAGTCTCGGCCTGTCTCAATCTCGGTCGAAGGTCGGGTCCACGATGACCCTTGGGTCTTGTCTCATCAATCGGTTTCAACAGCGGGACATTACGAAACACGATTGATTATCGCCCAGCTGTACAAAGGTCGTGCGACGGTTCTATGGAATGACAATGCTTCTCCATGCGCCTCGGTATAGCGGCGGGCTGTTCCCATGGTCGGGCCTCGCTGTCGCATAGACTTGTGGCTTTATGGACCAGCTATGGCTTCTTTTAGGATGGTCGGGACGAAGGCCTCTTTTTCTAGAATCATCGTATCTGATTATGATCCGAGGTCTGGCCTATGTGATATGGCGAGACGTACGAAGATGACGTCCTTAGTTGTCATCCTAGCCACCGGATTCGTAAACAACTCTACCCGTAAAACGCCAACTATACTTAAATACCGCCTGGCCGAAAGACTTTTTGAACGATTAACGTCGCCCGTTCCTCGTCACTCCGCAGACTTGTCAACTTCCTAGCGCATCATTATGCCACCTTCTCGTCACCACAAAGTCACCAACTTCGTTGCAGCTGTTCTTATCTTCTTGGCCGGAATAACTTTCACATATACTTATTTAAAGATTTCCAGTAATTACGCGGCTATGAAAACCGACACAAAGTTCAGGACCGACGCTGACCGAAGAATGTGCCACGCTTTGTGGTACCTGCGCGATGTGCTAGATGACCCTGTCAAGGTTGAAGCCCCATATGGTTTCCTCGGCTATTCCTACAGGCCTCTATCGGAGTGGCCAGGTTCGTGTAAGACGGGGAAACGCAAAGCCCTACCCGATGCCTTTGCGGAAGAAGTCCTCCGGGCTGCTAGCAGGAAGCGCTCCAGTGTTGCAGAGGGGATCCGACTAAAAGATGCCGGAGCGATCAAGATTTGGGAGGCGACCTGGGCCGTTTCGGAAATGGTTCTGGACGTTGATAGTTGGTGCGCGTTTTTGACCAAGATCCGGTCGGGACACTCCTTCACAAGGAAGGACTACGACGATGCGTGTCTCACTATCTGGGAAGAGAGGTCATGGGTATAGGGAGGTTGGTTACAGTGGTCGGTTGAGTACATGTGTTATCTCGAACTATCTTTCTTGTCAAAGAGCAACAATCTTGGCTTGTCAGCGCGTTTCTGCGGGATTGTATAGGGGATGGCTGGCGTGTAAGCTCGATAGGAGCACTTCCTCCAATGCCCGAAATGGTCTGGTCTCACGGCTCGCTGAGTCTCCTGGAAGCTCAAGATCAATCACGATGTTGTTGCGCGCCAAGTCCATCTGCTTCTCTTCGCATCGAATGTTTCTCATACCTGACCGATCCGCGCTCGGATGCTCGTGGGCAAATAGGTGATCACGGTCGGTTGGTGCCTGGGTCTTGGACTCAAACGGGCCCTTTTGTGCGCTGATCTTAGTCATGTGCGGCGGGCTTTGTGAGGTATGCCTCAGTTCAGTATACGTTCAGTTTTAACAACGAGACCGCCTATGCAACAAATGAATGATGAATGGCGCGGGCTCAGCGCTATTAGGGGCCAGACAACGAGACCACGCGCAAGGCTATAGTCAGACCCACGCTCAATGTCGAGACTCAGCCCGGGACGATGCCCGCTCTTGTAACAACGTATGAGATGTTGGATTTAAATATCAGCTTTACTGCGTCCTCAGCCGACACGAAGTTTTACCGCAGCTACGCCGCGGCTCCGGTGCTATATGAGTGTGTTTCCCATCCCGTCTAGGCAAGCTTCCGGCAAATAGCCTCGAGCGGCGAAAAAGACATACCACGCGGAAGAAGCCATTTTCGACCTCGCCAGCCTGGGTGTGTTCTATCCCTAGCATCTCTAGTATCACGGTGAGAGTATCCCGGTAGTCGACTCAAGCGCCAAGTATGCCAAAGCTTACTCCAGAGGGGCGCAAAGAACGCGCCCGTCAGCTGTGGCGCTATTATCATCGGCTGAAAGAAAAAGAGCCGAACTCGCAGCACATAGTAGCTGTTGACGAAACTGACCCGAATCACGACTATCTCAAATTTCTGGGATGGGAAGAGGGAGAGGCTGAAGAATTAGATCTAGCAACTGCAGCATGGCCAGAATCCTGGAATCAGAGGGGCAAGCTTAGTACCTGGCTCAAGGGTACACTCCAGCATTGGAGCGAGGAGTGGCGAAAGGAGCCGCGTGATGATGCCGATAGCCCTCAAGAGACCGATGAAGCCAAGGTGGCCGACCAGAGCAAGCCTACCCACGAGCAAACCTTGCGCCCCCCATGGACGGCTACAGTCGAACCGACCGATCCCGATCCCGAGAATCGCGAGGACGACTCTTCTGATGACGATGCCCGTCCGATCACGCATCCTCACTCCCCAGCCGCTAGAGGCTCTGTAGGCGTAAACACGGACGCGGTACTAAGAGATGAGCCGCTTGTCGCGAACACCTCACACGCTACTGATGGGGCTGGGCCCAATGTCACGCTGCCGTCACATGTGCGTACGGTCTCCGAGGTGTTCAATTCTCTAATCCGGAGGGCGGAGGACGAGGCGGCAAAGAAGCCTCAGGCAAGTAAAGGAGCGGTGCCGTCCCGCTCGACTAGAGACTCCCGATACAATACGGCGACGTCTTCCCTAGCGGCGGCTGATCAAAACGGTGACAGGCGGGATCGGTCACCGCTAAAAGCCCAGGAGTCTCGAGTTAGCCTCGCTCCTCAACAACCGCGTGAACCGCACCACTCGGCCGTCCAACGCAATCTTCATAACTCATCGGAAAGCCACACTCAGCCAGGCCGCACTGTCAGGGCCCTGATCACCGACGCCGACCAGTCCGACCATCTCCAACAGGAACCGCGGCAGGCCATTTTGCAGACTAAAGAGGAGATCAACAGATGGTGGTTTTGGTATCGCCAGGTCTACCGATCTCGCCGCCACAGACCGAGGTCTTAAGTCAAGTTGTATCGGGCTACCAGCTCCAGGGAACCCTGACAAACATAGGGAGTTGAGCGAGCAGGACCTGCCTTGGGAAGCACGGAACAGGACACGTCGTTAGAGGCATAGCCCGGTTTGTTTCTTTGCCCTTTGGGACCGCATAGCATTAGAACGGAACCAGTGAGTAGAGTATCAATTTTCCATCAAGCTCTTTCCAGGCGAAAGAAACGTACCTTAGTGATGCTATCTTCATAATTCTAAGGCCAACCACAAATTCTGTGTGAAGGGACCAAGATGCTACGATAAAATAAGCCCAAATCCTTCCGTCCCATTCCGGCTTCCCATGACGAGGTCCTTTGTGCACCTATGCACCCATTGAACCCGAATTGCCTCGTCTAAAGCCGTGTACGAGGTCGGACAGTATAGGTGGTGTTGATCTCCTTCAGACACCTTTCCGGGAAGGAGGCGCGTACCTTGTTCTGTCGCCCGGCAAGCTACTCCTCCATAAACTCCGTATCGTCATTATCTTCGACATACTCCCCGTCGTCTTCATTAGCATCATCGTCCTCTTCGCTCTTATCCTCGTCGTCATGGCCATCGCTGTGTTCGACCTCAGACTCCTCGCCCGGCTTGTCAACTAACATAGCGGTCGAAGACGTAGCCTGCGTAGCGGTTGCCCGTTCCTTGGTGTTCCTTGAGCCGCTGAATGGAGCTACAGATATGTTGCGGGAGCGACCCGAAGGAGCGGTATTATCTGCAGTCGGATTGGTGTCATTGGCTTCGGTTCCTTCGGTTCTATGGGCGTATGTCGATACCGCAGGCGAGCTGTTCTCCTCAGTCGTGGTTGGGACCTGCCCACTAGGGAGATTCGATTGCTTCGGGCTGGATATCTTGAGGATGGTTTCCCATTGAGCGATGAGATCCTGCGAGGCCTGGAGTTCAGTTTGTAAACGGGCGCGGTTTTCCTTCTCCTTGTCCAGATTCTCCTTCGCCATCGACATCATTGACTGGGTGAAGCTTGAAGGGTCGGACGACGCTTTGCTAGCTGCGCGACCGCTGTAGCGACCTCCTCGTCGAGACATCTTCTTCGTCACTCGTTCAGTCATCGGAGAAGTTGACGGGCGGGATGGGATTCCTTGTTGATTCGGTGAGCAATATCTTAAATAGGATTAGAGGAGAGAGCTTTGTGATCAGGAAAGCGAGCAGGCCCGGCAGGACGACTTTTATAGATGATAAAAATCAGCACATCATCCGGCAGCCTAGTCACTGTACTGAGGAGTTCCATCTCGTCAGATCCATGGCGGCCTTGAGGTGAAAGAAAATCACCCGGGACCATCAACACATACCGTGTACGTCAGTATTACCAAGCGCACTAAGTAGCGGTCTTAGCCCGCGCTGGAGGCAGTCGGGTACTTGAAAGTAGACAATTAGCGGCTCGGGCTACCAAACAATATCATAGATGCCTTACAGACATCGATCAACTTCCCCTGCTTACCTTACCTGACTTACTAGAAGCTACTGGGTACTGGCCGTGCGAATACAGTGTATATAGCCCTCGCACTGTCCAACTTCTGTTGTTTCGTCGATGTTCTAGAACCCCCAACTCCGGGAGCCGCTACGGGCTGTTTTGTGTTACCGGAATTTTCGGGCTCGTTGGGTTCGACAAGCCAGTCGCTGTGTCCATCGTCGTCGGTGGCACCAACTTTGTCTTTTCGCTGGTCAACCTGTTCATCATAGATAAACTCGGCCGACGTCGCATTCTCCTCGTCACGGTCGCCGGAATGGTAAGTCTCTCTCGTATCAAAACGCAGGGCTTCTCAGCAAATCTGTGATCGCTTAAAAGCTAACCACTCCTCCTCCAGTCCATCAGCATGGTTGTTGCCGCCATCGCCTTCCACTGGATCCCAGTCTCACCCGATCTCACGCTTCAGACCGCCTCAGTAAACTGGGCCGGCATCCTCGTCCTCGTGACTATCATCATCTACGTCGCCTGCTTCGCCGGCGGTGTCGCCACCATCGCCTGGGTCGGCACTGAGCTCCTGCCCCTCGAGGTCCGTGCCCTCGGCACCATGATGAACACGGTTACTTGCTGGGGCTGCAATATTATCATCGCATCTACATTCCTGTCCATGATGAAGGGTATGACGCCTAGCGGTGCGTTTGGTTTCTACGCGGCAATCTGCTTCTTTGGATGGGTGTTTGTCGTCTTCTGTTATCCCGAGGCCAACGGCTTGCCGCTCGAGGAGGTCAGGCAGATCTTCTCTACCGGGTTTGGCGTCAAGAAGGCGAATGAGTTGCAAAGACTCCGCAAGATGGGGGCGGGCTCGGCTTAAGTCCTTCTTAGAAAGGTCTAGCCTCTTCATTGAACGTATTGTTGCGTACAGCCAAGCGACGATTGCATAATGAGGCATGATTAATAAATCTATCAGAAACGTCGAGTTGACGGTCATTGTGGTGATGTAAAAGACAATGAATGTTCGCCAGCAGTCTCTATTAAACTTCCAGCTCCATGTTTCAGGAAATGAAGACACTTATGGGCGGTCCAAGGTAACTCTCTCGCACTCCGCCAAGATCAACAACGAGCTTTTCGAAAATCAAGTTCGAGTGCTTGAAACAGATCGTTACGCTGTGCTCCCCAACGCCAAGCTCATTATCGCCTAGATCATGCTTCCGTAACCAAGCACAGTCCTGCACGGCATGATACCAACCGTCAGGGAGATCATTGGTCTTCGACGACAGTCGATGAGTCTGTACGGGTCCGCCATCAACCTGCAAGTCGTAAGACATCGGGTCTACCGGATCTAGGTCGAGCGTCATGTTGAAGTATAACAACAGGGACGGGCTCGCTGTCTGCGAGAAGACGTAAAACTTGGACGTGGCCTCAGCGCTCTCCGCGCCTGGGGCAAGGACGATCGCTCCCTCTGGGGTTCTGCCGCACTCCGGCAGTGCTCTGAGACCTTGGAGTGATTGATGCGCCGCTGGGATGGAGATGTACCCGTCACCCTCGACAAACCCTTCCTTGAATGATCCGAGGATGCGTCTGCCAGTGATGGGCAGGTGTATCTGCTCAAAGTCGCCTTCATCGGATCGAATATCGATCAACACCTCTTCGTCAAAGTCATCTGGTACCTGATCCCAATCAATCGTGACCTCAATCCTCACATCCTCTCCATCAGGATCAAGCGTGCCGGACGAAGTCGAGAGCTTGATCCAGTCATACGGAACAGCAGCCTTCCAATGCGTTACCTGAGGTCCTCGGCTGTAAATATCAAACCACCTCTTCACCGGCCCATACCGGCTCATAAGTCCCAACGTCACTCCAGGAACCAAGTCCCGCCGACTAGGATGCGTCCGATCAGACTCCTCATTTGTCCTGCCCGGCCGCACGCCTTCGTGGCCTTCAACAGCGACCCCCATCTGTCCCATGATTGGATTCGAGCGCTGCCGACGCTGGACGTAGCACAAGCCGCTGATCATGTCGCGGTACGGCGCGTGCCACGTCTCCTCATAGCCGTAGTGCGTCTGGCTCATGATTTGGTCCCACTTGCCGTCCAACAGAGCGTGGAACTCTTCTGAGAGGGCGTAATCTGCATCAAAGAGGTCGAGAACGTCGCGGGCGAGTTTGTTGGCGACGTTGCGGCGCTGGCGGGCGTAGAGTCTGTTCCGGCCTAGGGTCACTTGGAGTTTGGTGAAGATTGTTGATGCTTTGACTGGGTGCAGAACGGTTTCGAAGATAGCTGCCTTCTGATTCTCTGGGGTCTGATTGTAGATCGCCTCGGCTGACTGAAGGAGCGAATCCCAGCGGTGTACGACATCTTCCGCCTCGTTGTAGTGGATCAAGGAAAAGGTTGTCGGTTCAATGTGTTCGTGTCTTCTTAGTGCGGAGAGTCTATCGTATTCATGCCATACTGACGCGATTTCTTCCGACTGATCTTTTCCGAAGTTTGTCTCTGCCATTTTCTGGTAGAAGTTTGCAAAGTCGCTGGCGCCGATAGAGTTGATGTCCCAGGCCAACGTCATTGCGAATGTGAGCGGTACTTCCATCGGCTTAATGTCACCAACGTTGAACACCCAGATTTGCTTTGCATTGCGTCTGTGGGCTTCTTGTAGCTGATGCCAGGTTTTCCCCTGTTTCCTTGTGTTAACTAATTGGATCTTTGCAATCATGGGCCATGACGAACCAGAGAGTTGCTGTTGATCCACTTGTAGCTTCGTGGAACTCCCACATACTCGAAATGGTAGTATATCTGCCTCTGTCAGTATCGTCTTGTAAGGTACGGAGGCACGAGCATGGGCAGAGTTGCGTACACCTGCGCCCCCTTTTCTATCCCTCTCCACTCCGGATGGAAGACGCCTGATACTGCCAAAGTTGTCGTCGGCGAATAGAAGGGTGACATTATCGGGTACATCAAGATTTCCCTCCTCATACTGCTCCTGAACTTCTTTGTACAAGGCCAAAAGCTCTAGTTCACAAATCCAAGTCAGTCGCCCACGCCTCGCTTGATTCAGGGATCATCACTCACGTGGTACAGCATCTTCTCTCCCATGAACTTGCTTAATAAGAGCACGCTGCGTCTTGATCACATCCCTTACCACAGCAGCCGGGTCATCCGTCTTCATCTTTCTGTCATACTCGCCGCGCATGCCAAGGGTGAAGTACGACTCGCGGCCCACTGCCCTCTTGACTCCCTCATCAAAGAAGGCGGCGATCTTCTCCTTGTTGGTGAGCCAGTTCCAGCTGCCGTCCGGGTTGTCTGCGAACCACTCATTGGACATTCTCTGCATAGGCTCGTGATGGGACGTTGAGACGGCGATTCCATAGTCTTCGGCGAGCTTGGGGTTAAGGGGGTCATCTGTAAAGAATGAGGCGCCCGGGTTGGGGTAGCCTGGCCACATTGCCGGCCAGAGGAAGTTGGCCTGGAGGAAAAGTCAGTTTTGGAGTTATTCTCTTTCATGTCAGATTGGGCGTGTACCTTGAGTCTCAGAAGTAGTTCAAAGACCTTCTTGTAGAATTCAGAGTTGTAGCTCCCGAAATTGGCTCTGACCCAGCCAGTCAGGGCGGGAGCTTCATCGTTGATGAAGATGCCGCGGAAGCGAATGCTTGGTTCACCATGGTATGTCGGCTCTGGTAGTGCGTAGATAGCTGCATGATGCTTGGGAGGGACATCGGCCCAGTAATACCACCTACGTACACTTGATGTTAACAGAAGAGCGGAACACGACTTGAAGTGAAATCATACGGAGAGACTCCGATTTGTTCAGAGAGGGTATAGACGCCGAAGATCGCCCCTCGCTTGTCGCTCCCGGCAACAACGAGGGCTCTCTGCACGCCCGGCAAGGGTTGGCCGATTACATGGGTGGTAAAGGACTCCCATTTCCCTCGGATCTCGTCAAAACTGAGCTTTCCATCCTGTTCCAGCCGCTGGAGTATAGAGCTGGTTCCGATTGATCCGATGATGATGGCAGCGGCAGATCCCAAGGCGACATCAATCTGGGTGCCCTGGACGATCTGGACGATGCTCTGTTCAGACTGTGTGACTCGACCAAAGTCCTGCGCGAGGTTCTGCGCTGCGATGCGGATGCCTATCGGATCCGACTCGTCTACCAGGATGGTTGAGCCGGCCAAGTCAAAGGCCGCGGCGTCTTTGGGTGACGAAAACGTCACAATGGCTTCTTCAAACATTGCGGTGTATCATGAAAGTCTGTTTTTGTGAGGAATCGTGAGGTTTTGCGTGGGATAATGTTGAGTTCGAGCCATTCTCAACTTCTCCTCCCCAAGTATCCACGCACCGGGTGATTGCCGGCCGAGGTCGGCTCCTTCAATGAAAGGCTGCCAAGTGATCATGTAGAGTTCCGCTGCGGAACATATGATCCCACCCCGCTACCGCCTTGGCATCTCCGGACCGGGCTACCTGTATTACTACAGAGCCTCTGCTCCGTATTTACTAGTCCATTGAGACGATATGCCGTAGTATCCGCCGTGTGTTTGCGTCTCCAAAGCCATACTCCTGACCTGTACGGGTAGGCAAGTTATGCAAAGTCAACATTCAAGCAAGAGAGGAATTTGTTCAGACTGTTGTTACCCCTCCCGAAAGACAACGACAGCTTCTCCGCACAAGAGACCACATCTAGTTAGCCACACCATCCTGACCCTTGGCCCGGTGTCCGGTCCGGCCTCGTTCCCCCGCACGCCACCCCGGTCCTTACCCCCGCCTCCGCAAATCCTCAATGGAGCCCTTTCTCCAGGTTTTAATGGAACGATCATCGGCAAAGTACGGTGTCGAATAGCCGAGGGGCGATCAAAACACGACAAGGAGCCAGACAGAAATAAGAGAAATGTAACGATTATCGCGGTTAACCACCCCTCAAGCGGCATAGCGGCCCACGAGGTTTTCGGAGCTATGGCTGGATGAGTCGTGCGCATATGCCCAAGGTCGCGTGGTCTCTGTCCCAACATACGTAAAGTACGTACGGGATGTGGATGGGCACCCCCGGCCGTACCAAGACTATGGTTTTGCCGGGCTGGTGTTGATCCAAGCTTGGGAAGCTCAAGATGGTCTGACCACCCCCAGATAAAAGGGCGCCCCCTTCATCCTTTTTCCTTCCTTGATAGTCTCTTGGCTGTCGGACGCGCCAAGCAAGCCTCTCGAGCCTATTTTGTGCGACGCAGAGCCTCCCCCAACGTCAGATTTCAGAATAGGGCCTCTGTGTCGAAGAGCCGTCATTCACAATGAGCAAAGCCGACATCGTTGAGGCGCCCCATGTGGTCGAGGACGTGGCCGAGGGCAAGCAGCGGACAAACTACGACAAGGTCGACAATGAGGTTGCCAAGTACGCCGGCGAGGCGATTGTCGAAATCGATGCTGAGACAAACAAGAGGTTGAAGAGGATGATTGACAAGCGGGTGTTGAGTGTCATGGTCTTCACCTATTTTATGCAGTCGCTGGACAAGGGGACAATGTCGTTCGCGTCCATCATGGGCATCATTCCTGACACAGGTCTTGTGGGCCAACAGGTACAATTATCGCTTCACAGTGTCATATTTCATGCTGATTGAGCCAGTACTCGTGGTTGACGACCATCATTTACCTCGTCATTCTTTGCGTTGAGTATCCCGTATGGCTTTTTCCCTCACCTTTTGAAGACAAACAATGCCCTGACCTTACGTGCGACTTGCCAGGAAAACTACATCATCCAAAAGATCCCGATTGCGAAATGGCTCTCGTTCAACATCATCATGTGGGGGGTGACGCTCAGCCTCCACGCGGCATGCCACAACTTCGTCGGTCTGGTCATCGTCCGTGGCTTCTTAGGTGGATTCGAGGCAGTCTGCCAACCGACCTTCGTCCTGCTCACCTCCATGTGGTACAAGCGTGAGGAGCAGGCCTCAACCGCCATCTACTGGTATGCAAACGATTCCGATCGCGATTAAACAATGAGTTGCTGGTGTACTTGAAACTGATTTCCCTACTACACGCAGGTACATGATGAACGGCCTCCAGCAGATCATCGGCGGTCTCCTGGCCTTTGGCTTCTCCTTCATTCCCGCCTCGTCGCCCATCCGATCGTGGCAAGCTCTGTTCATGACCTACGGCATCATCACCGTTTTCTGGGGCGCCTTCGTCATGTGGTGGATGCCCGATTCGCCGATGAAGGCGCACTGCTTCAGCGAGGAGGACAAGAAGCTCATGGTGGAGCGCGTGCGGTCCAACCGTACCGGGTTGCAGAACCGCAAGTGGCGCAAGGAGCAGGTCTTTGCGGCGTTCAAGGACCCCCAAGGTGAGGAAGGCCTCATTGAGTCCTACCCCATGAAATAGTAGACTGACTGGCTTCCCAAAGTGTATGGCTTCGCTCTCATTCAGCTCTTGACCACCCTCCCGTCTGGAGGTCTCGGCGCATTCGCAAACATCATCATCAAGGTAACCAACCATCTGCCAAAAGCACGATAAGCTTACAGTAGACATGAAAACTAACACTTGCCCAGTCCTTTGGTTTCTCCACCTGGGAAACCCAGCTCCTCCAAAGCGTAACAGGCATCCTCCAAATCATCACCATGCTCACGGCCTCCTGGATCGACAGACGCTTCAAGCAGACAATCTTCGCCATGATGGCCGCCGTCGTCCCCACCATCGCCGGCACCGTCGTCCTGCTCACCGTCCCCTTCGAGCACAGCAAGAAAGTCGGCCTGCTCCTCGCCTACTACATCATGATCTCCTTCTGGGCGTGCAGCGGCCTCGCGCTCTCGCTCGTCACGCGCAACGTGGCCGGGCAGACCAAGAAGGGCGTCGTGATCACGAGCAACTTCATCTTTTGGGCCGTGGGCAACTCGATTGGTCCGCAGGTGTTCCGCTCCAAGGATGCGCCGCGGTACTTTTTGGCGCTGGCGATCATTCTGGGATGTTTCGTTTTGTTGGAGGTTGTGCTTTTTGCGCTGCGGACGTATTATGTTTGGCAGAATAAGTTGCGGGATGGTAAGATTGCGCGTGGGGAGGCTGTTGCTGACACGGCGCATTCTCATGCATTTGAGGACATGACGGACAAGGAAAGTTTACGTTTCGATGGTTTTTGCAGTGTTCACGTTGCTAACTGTGTCGTAGGAGGATGTCAACTTCAGATACAACTACTGAGGGTCTGGTTCAGACACGTGGATTGTCTATTGTCCTTCTGTTAATTGTGGTAGATTCTGGGCCATAAGACATGGGATATTGCGCAGGTCACTAGGACTACTTATATTGTTCTAGACTCAGTCTGCTAGGTTTCTACTATTGTAGCTCACAGTCACCAAGTAGTAAGCGTTGCTTGAACTCAGTGCAATACTTCCGCAACCAAGAGAGAGACCAGAATAACCAGATCCTTGGCCATGACTTGGCAAAAGCTTGTGAGAGTGGCACACAAGCACAGTAAGGAGCCAACACAAAGTACACAAATGTTTGCGAAAGGAAAAGGAACAGTTGTACACTGTTGTGGAGATGTACCAGCAGGGATCGTCGCAACGTTGCAATCTACCCCCTCATTCTCCCGACCAGGACCCCAGTCTAGCTTAATTATCCCAGATTTTCCCAGCAAGCCCCTCCCCCAGATTCCACAATTCCGACAACGTCCCCCAGCTCTGAACCCCATGCCATCCACTTCATTGGACCCAACCTATGATGCTAAAAGCCAAACCCCGTTGTTGGAAGCGGGGCAATTACGAGTCCCCTGTCTTATGAACAAGCAAACGAGCAAGCAGCCAGCCCGATTCGGGTCTTCGACGCCTGGGACGGTTCTTACCCGAGGAGGTCGCGTCCTTCTCCAAGACCCCAACTTTGAGATATCCCGCCGGCTGAACCGCAAATCTCCGGTCAAGATTGCCGGTTGTTTTCCCTATGCCAAGTTTGTTCCCCGCGTGGGGGGTTTTGTCCTCGACCCCGAAATCCCCAGCCAGTCGGGGAGAAGATAGAGTCAGTTAAATAAGGGAATCGGCCGGTTGTCGGCCGATGATGCGGAGAAGCCACCGAGAGGCAGCATTTCTTGTTGTCTGTAAGAAAGCTGTGTGTCCCACGTTGTGGTTAGCTTCTTTTTTGCCACGACAGACGCTTGCTGCTGGATTTCCACACTTGGGCGTGGGAGTTCACCAGATTCGACGGGTAGAATCAGCTTAGAGTCCATCACCAGAACAGCCCTTCAAAATGTGTGGTCTAGATGGACATGGTGGCCGCGGGTCGTCCTCTTACCCGCTACGGGCACCTGTCCCCGTCGGGAAGAGAGCTAACAAGCTGTACAGAGACCGCACGGCGAACTTCTACTCGCCAGGACAATGGGAGAAGGTCAATCTGCTCTCGTGAGTCTACTCTTTCAACAACTCGCATCATTCTGTGAGGAATGCTAAGCAGTTCGTCCACAGCATGATGCACTTCGCAGTCCGCTCCGACCCCTCAGTCATCGCCCTCTCAGTATGGCACAGCCCAGGCCTCACCCGCCCCCCCTTCGCCGACGCAACAGCGTCCTCAAACGACTACACTCCCTCAAAAGTAGGCGACGCATTCGGTCCGTCCTGGTCAACGCACTGGTTCCGCGTCCGCGTCACGATCCCAGAGGACATGCGGCAGATGGACCATCTCGAACTCCACTGGGACTGCAGCAACGAAGCAACAGTCTGGACCTCGACCGGCGAGCCCCTGCAGGGCCTCACGGGCCGCGGCGAGCGTATCGAGTGGATTCTGCCCCGGGAGTTCAAAGATGGGGAGGAGCATGTTTTCTATCTGGAGATGGCGTGTAATGGGATGCTGACCAACGCGGCGGGCGAGCCGATTTTCAAGAATAACGCCAACGGGGACGCGATTCAACCTCCCGACCCGAACAAGATCTTCACATTGACGAAAGCCGAGATTGTAGGCGTGGATTTGCAGGCCAGGGCGTTGCATGCGGATATCACCGTTATCCACCAGGCGGCGGAGGAGTTTCCCGAGGACTCCTGGGAGCAGCACGAGGCGCTGAACGTTGCGACGAGGATCATTAACACCTTCCTGGTCGGTGATCGGGCCTCGATCGTGGCGAGCAGGAAGATTGCGGAGGAGTATTTGGGGCCTGATGTCGACTCGGCAAAGGTGTTTGATGTCGGCAGCGGTGAAAAGGGGGCGAGTGTGTACGCGATCGGGCATTGTCATATTGACACGTGCTGGTTGTGGCCTTGGGAGGAGACGA